CTTTCATGACCCATCTTCCCATTGCAAAATCTTCTCTGTATTATTTTAATGCAGTTCCCCTTTTTCTTCAGCAAGAGACTGAAAAGCCTAACAGTTATCCTGTGCTATCTCAGATTAACAAAGATGCAAAAAATAGAGTGGCACACTTCATACTTTTTTGCAAAAGTAAATGATTTTCTCGTGGCTTAGTCATTGATGATTAAGACAGTTGAGCCATTTTATCTCAGCTTGCCTATGTGTCATCTATCATTCTAGGGACGAAAAAATATTCTGATTTACCTAAAATCAGGTAAATTTGATTCTCTACCTGAGAGAATCAAAGCCCAAGAAGCACTTTCATGTCCATCCACTAGATCATAAAATACTTCTATTTGTCCAAGAAACAGATTTAATAGTTTGACATAAGCTACTGTATAAAAATAGTTAGAAAAGCTTAAATCTTACTTAGAAACTCAGAGTTGTTTGTTCAGCAGAAAGGATAATGTAAAAAACTGTAAAAATAAGTAAGCAGAGAAAAATCTTCAGAAAAAAAAATGTAAGCTCCATGAGAACTTTCTATAAGCACAGAAAGAAAAAAGCAATGTTTACTAAATAGCTTATTTGATACCATTGACTCAGCTCATTTTATATTTTGATAAACAGAAGAGTGAGAATTAAGGTTATTTTGAGGACAAGTTTATATATAGAATGAGAAGAAAAGCACATAAGTACATTCAGTTTGTATATCAAAGGAGTTCTGATGCACAATAAACTAGTAGCAGTGTAAATAAGCTAATAACAGGTTTGCAATTGTAGACAAGATAAGGCTGAAGATTAGCCACGGGAAATTGAAACATCACAGTAAACAGAAAAATAAGGGATAAAGTAATTTACCTGTGCATAATTCTACTCAGCCAGCACTACTTTCTAACCATACATGCATCCCCATTGTCCTAGAAATAGACCAATGTTAATTCAGCAAGAGAGCAAACCCAGACTCTTAGAAACTGAAGTCTCACACATAACCAGTTCATTTTCTGTACTGGAAAAAGTAATAATGCCAAGATAAGGAGCTGCAGGAAGATGATGAGAGGCAAAGTGTGAGCACTATACAAGTGAGTACTGCAGTCAAGTATTCCTTTAAAACTTGTCTACACAAAGCTGGCACTTTGTCCAATATTAAATAAGTTCTGCACGGATTTGTCAAGCTGCATTACATCTTTGGGTGGACACTTTTATTCAGAATTTAGTTAGTCTTCGTCCATTTTGATATAATTCATTCTTATCGTGTTAACATTAGCAAAACAAATGTGGACAGATAAATACCAGGAAGCAAAAGAATAACTTAAACATTTAAAACAGTAGTCACTGCTGGCAAAAGACCAAATGGGTATGAGGTTTAGTTCAGAAGATAGAAGATAATTCTTAACTCTCACAGCAACGTTTGCTGGAGCAGTTTTCTCCTGCAGTAATGAGAGCAAAACACCCAGTTGCTTTCAAGATAAAGTTCAGTCCACTTATGAACCAGATTGCATGGCATGCTTGGAATAACAAGGGAATAGACTCAGCACATAGAAGGTGACTTTCAGGAAAGCTCCCATGATAATATTTATGCACCTGCTCTACCTCACTCAAGATTTGCAAGTTGTATATAATATGCACAGAATATACCTTGCACTGTAAATATATACTCAGAAAAGTAAATGTTAAATCATTCAAATAGAGGTGCATTGTCTGAATCGCTAGCAGACACTTTCACATTATGGTGCTTATTCTCAGTTGTTTCAATTCTTTATTTGTAAAATGGAAGTACTAATTTTGTCTTGTCAGACAGGAAGTTATGAAGGAAAATTCATGAATATTTATAAAACGTTTACTCAAATGATGAACACGGTCTCCCCATGCGGAGATCAATAAACCCATTCTGATTTAGACTGTACAGTAAATAAAGGTCATAGCCACACACATATTAGAACAGAAAAAGACCAATACTGAACAGCTGTCTCATTCACTGTGCATCCATCATCTTGTGAACTGAGTCAGACTGAGTTCCTGTCAGAAAATGGATCCACGGATCTTGTAGGAAGAGACTAACTCAAGCACATCTGCACAAGGAGCAGCATTAACTTGCACTGGCAAAACAGAGGGCTTTCACACATAACATTGTGTAGGACTCCAAATACAATATAGAGCCAGTGAATTTGTAAGCAATAATTCCAAACAATTTAAAATTGTAGAGTTTTGGTGAAATCTCTGCTACAGTTAAATTATTTGGATAGAACTTAGGAGAAAAACAGTGATCAGATTATTGGGTGATAGTCAAGCCCCTTTAAGGCTACAATTTATGACGAGTATGCTACCACCTCTTCAAAGACATTTCAAGCCAACATATCACAGTATGCCATTATTTGTACCATAAATACACACCAGATCTCTTTAGTACATCCACAGTCCTTACATTAATGCAACTGTACTTGTTAAGCCAGTGCAGGAACATCTACACTGTGGTGGTGATAACCATCCATGTCTATAAAGCCAAATCCCCATTGGCACTGCTATTAATGTGGATTTGACAGTAGATTGTTTGGGGAATCATATCCAGGTCCTCAGCATTTCATTAACTGGAAGTACTCCATGAAATGCTTGATGGCATGCCATGACAGACTTCTGTTTTCCTTCCAGGTCTTCTTGGGAAAGTTTTCAATCTGCCAGCATGTTTAGTTAACACAGTTCCCATGATGTACATTCCTTTCTCTCATGTGTCCCAAGCAGTGCTAATATGAGCACAGCTGGATGAGCTGTTCATGCTCATGTTTCTGGAGTTATTGCAGCCATGAACTGATAGAGAGTTTGAAGAACACAGAAAATCAAAGAGCTCCCTAACTGTGCTGAATTCATCAATCACTCTCACATGCTCATAGCTTTCCCTTTTTGTGTGACAGTTCAGGAATTAATGTGGAAGACGCATGGACAATGCACAGGAAAGCAAAAGATACATCCATGTGGAAGACATTCAGTGTTACTATCTCCACACAAAGTTAGCAGGGAGATTTCTGAATTGAGTATTACCTCTGATATGTTTTCTTTGTAGATTCTCTACCATAATATATTTGGGAAAAGACAGCTTAATCATACTTTAGAGAAGCTGCATAGATGCTTTTCATATCTGGGACTAATACCATTTGTACTACTAGGCAGCTATACAGAAAGATAAAAGTGAAACCACATACATGTAACAGGCAGGTGAGGGGCACCCGTAAAGCCTCTCACCCACTCAATCAATCCATCTTGGAGAAGCTTGTATATCCTACACATCTCATTAAACTGCAGAGAGTGCTGCTCTAAGGCAGCTCAGCTCCTTTTGGCAACAAAGCTAGCTCATTCGTGGTTTGGTCAGGTATTTTTGCAGCACAGTGATGTGCAGGCCTGTTGTTACTGTTATTGTTGGGCAAACAAGGGAAATAAAAGAACACCTTTTGTAGCCATGAACTTACAGAATAGAGAGGCATGCATGAAAAAATATGAATGTGGAAAAGTGCATATGAATTATTTACAACTGCAATGTGATTACAAGAAAGGTAGCTATTTTATTAAAAGCTTTGCAAAGTTTTCTTTCTCAAACAACTTGAAAGTTGTCAGTAAATCAATGTTAACCAATAAAACTACATTGTCAGTTGTCAATAAATCAGTGTTAACCAATAAAACTATATTAAAGTAACTGTTTTCTGGCAGGCCTGCTGTTTTATCGTGTCTTGCAGCAGCTCACTCTGCCTTTCCCTGTGTTGCATCCTTTCCTATAGCAAGTGAATGAGCAAAGGTGCTGGATACTGCCAAGGAAATGGAAGAACATCTAATCTTTTTCCTGCTCAGAAGAATACAACTAACTGCCTAATTTCAAGACAGCAGATACAGACTTCCTTCACACAGATCTATTTTTATTCCACCTGTTCCTCTAGCCATATGGGCCGTTCAAAGAACAGAGTGCTGGATCCATTCACTGAAACACGACTCAAGGGTATTCAGTGTGTGGTCAGGGATAGGCTAAAATGCAGAATACAGGAAAACCACACCACACACAGAAAGGCGAGCACAACCTGCAGCTACCACTCAGCCCAGCCCTCTGATCTCTAGTTTGCAAATAACTTTTTCCTGTTTAAACTTTTTGTTGTTGCTTCTGTTTGTTTGTTTGTTTCAGCAGAAGATGGTCTTGGAGTGGAAATCTTCTGACTTTGTAAGAAAGGCTATGTGGTTTCTTTGCAAAGGGCAGCCTACAGGCCGTAAGAGCAAAAAAAGGGCAGGACTGGGCTTCAAAAGGGCTATCGATGACAAAAGCTCACTGACATTCTGATACCAGTGATTTGCTTAAGATAATTAGGGCAGCTTCCCAATAGCCAGAGGTCTACTTCTTAGAAAACAAGAGAGCCTGTTTGCTAACCTTGATTAGCCCAGTGGCTAGAAAACTTGATGTTTAGACAGGCCGAGCTGCCTTTTGTGCCAGACTGTGCTGGCAAACGACCAAGAACACCAATTTGCACAGCAGGCTTGTCAGGCATCAGGCTCTGCCACAGCAATGCTCCCACCACAGCCTCCACCTGCTCGGGCCTCGGGTTAAAAACAGCCTGTAAATGATGGCTAACATTTTGGGATTGCCAGCGCTACAGAGATTGTTAAGAGCAGCTCTTTTTGTATTCTTTTTCCCACTTACAGAGCTCAGTTCCTGAGCATGGCTGCTCAGAACAGGAGGAAAGCACACAGCCCTTTGCTGCAGCTTGCAACTGAAAAGCGGGGGAAGGGGCTCACGCAGCGAGGCCTGGCTCTCACGGCAACGAGCAAAGTGGCGGCGCACGTAAGGGCCGGCGAGAAAAGCGGCGAAGAGCGCTGAGGAGAGCCGGCCCCGCGGCGGGTCGAGGCGGGGCGGCCTGCACGGGCGGGGCGCGGCGGCGGAGACGGAGGGAGATCGGCGCGCGCCGAGGGTCGCGGCCGTCCCGCTGGGATGCGCGCGGCGACACCGGTAAGGCCGCCGCGACGGGCCGGCGTTGGGGTGGGGGCGCCCGACGGGAGGTTGACGTGCTGCGGCGTGCGGCCGTCCGGCGGCTGCGGGAGGGGCGTGCGCTGCTTCGCAGGGCGGCTGTGGTACAGCATGCGCCTCCCGAGACGGTCGCGGGGACAAAGGACCGGCGGAAGCGCGGCGCGGAGCGGGGGCGCCGCAGCCGGTGCTGCGGGAGGTCTGCCGGGCCGCGAGCCGTCAGTTAGCCTGTGTGCTGCTCGCGGAGCTGTAACGGGAAGGAAGCCTTACCTTGAATGGTAAACTCCCTGACTGCGCTTTGCTGGAAGCAGACCGGGGAAAAGATGGTAGTTAGGACCTCCGGTCCACAAGCAATAGCTTTTGGGTGGGACTTTGTAATAGTTCGTGGTGGTGACTGAGGGAAAGGGTGTAATGCTGTATGGCAAGGTCGTATCAGTGGCACAATCCCTGGAGCTTCCTGGACATCCGAAGGGGTGAGACGTGCACGCGGTGAGATACAAGATAGGGCCACAGCCATAACTACCGGGCTTAGTAGTGGAGAAAAGTTCAGAAGGATGTGAAAGAGAAATCAGAGCTCCTGAAAGGAAGTTGTTCTCTCAGAAATTCTGCAAACGAAGAAGAAAAAAAAAATGTTTCATATTTTAAAAATATTAAAATAACTCTTATTTTTGTACTGAAATAATTTGGGTATACTTGTCTCCATAACAACTATAGGACTGAGAAAGCTCTGATTTAAAAATGTGTACCTTCGCATCTTCACTATAAAGCAGCAGAAATATCATTATCCCTGTTTTGGTAAGTGATGAATTGCTGCAGAGGAGCACTGAGTAACATCCCAAAAGTCAGAGTGGAACTTAGTTCTCTTAATACCTTTGCGTGCCCCAAAATCTGATGCTGAGCCTTTACAGTCAGTCTGTGGACAAATATTATCAGCAGCAAAAGCTAGCACGGACAGACTAGCATTGCATTCTTTTGTTAATTGCCACTGCTCTAGGTGATCTGGATTTCTAAACCAATGTCCACAATTGATATGTTTCTCTAATGCAAACTAGACCAAAATTAGAGCTGAGTGCTCTACATAAGTACTCAAAGACACTCTTGTCTGACATTTCCATCCCACCTCCCTGTGTAAGCTGGATTCGGGAAGCTCAATCGGGAAATTCATCTAATAATTTTGTCATCTTTGGCTTGGCGAGTGGTCTTATGGAACAATGAGCTGAACTAGCTTCAGTGCAGGTTCAGTAACAGATGCATTACAAAGAAGGGGACAAAACCAGGAGCAGTAGATGGGATGCTCCTTGTAGTGGTAACATTTAGCTTGGTTCAGCTAGTGACAGAATTGCATCTTCAGTGTCTTATGCTTTAATGTGTTTAGAAGTGTTGAACTCACTAGAGCCATTATTGGAGCGTTCTTAACCCAGTGCATTCTTTCCTATGCTCATATATCTTCTGACTTAATTTTTAATATTAAAATCTTTTAAGATGTACAGTTGTAGTTGAGCCTCGAATTGCTATATGATCTCTCTCCCTTTCAGGCTTGAAATATCCCCTCAAGAGGCATTTTTTATAGGGTTGCAAGCTCTGTAGTGATTAAAGCAATATCTGAGCCTAATCTTAAACACACATACACAGAATTAATACAGCACTTCTGACAATGAAGGTACTGCTAGCTGTAGTATTGCCATCCTTTTGAAATATACAAGTGTATCACATCTGTTGCAGCTGTTGTTTCAGCTTCTAAGAATCAGAAGGCTGTATATAACTTGTTCTTACTTAAGATGAACTTCTGATACATATGACTGCAGTATGATTAAGGTAGTTTCAGTGTGGCAGGCTGAAAACTGATGAAGCTGCACTGGTACAAGCCTTGACATGAACCATGTAAGCCTGCATAGCGCTGGAAAGCCTTTGTGGAAATCTCTACTTTTGTGGCTCTATGCTGTTAACATTTAAATTAAGTAGCTCAGTTTATGCTCACACCTGTGACATACACATTTCTGTCTCCCAGTATTATCTGATCTCTGTTTAGAAATAGGAAGTCTTTAAGACAAAATAGTCAAATCTATTCACTGAAAATGAGCTGTGGATATGAGAGATACTCTTTCTGTAACCATGTGTATGACATCCTTCTCCATATCCTTTGAAGAACCCTAGAGGATTAAACCTGGGAGCTCCTCAGAGATTGTAACTCTTGAAGAGCTGCCAACATAGATGTCTTAAAAAAAGGAAAACAGGACAAGTTGCTAGTTGAAGACCAAGCTTAGAATTTTGGGAATTTGAGTGCCATTTGGTTCTGTAACAGTTACTTTTGCTACAAATTAGGATGAATAATTATATCTTCCATGCAGCAGATTTCAGGCTCTTTAAAGAAATCAGCATGGTTAAGAAACAGCAGTACCACTAATACGGATTTATTTCCTTCAGAACCATTTACTATAACTCTGGGAGCCTTCTGAGTACTAACTCACATCCTTTTGCATCATGAACACCAGCATAGCTTTTCTAATGTGATCCACACCTTACTCTTATGTAAAATTAGTATTGTGAATTTCACATAAATGAAAGCATCTGCAGTGGTTAGGTGTTGCATAACCGTAAGTTTAAGATTTACAAGACAAGACAGTCACGAAAGAGTAAGGATTAACCTGAAAAGTTTCATTTTGCAGTTTTGAGATACCGATGTGACACATGAGAACAGAGCATAAAGCAGAACTTTGCTCATGAACAGAAAAGAGGATATAAAAGGCTTGCACAAGCCATAGCTCTCTGGCAGTCGTTCAGTTTTATCGTGAAACTGATTGCCAGTAGATGAAATAAATGATTTCATCCCTGAGTTTTAAACCTGAAATTGAGGAGCATATGATTCAGTCATGGCTGTAGGTGCAGGGTCTAATTCATACCCTGTAACTTTACCCAATGTGGAGGAGATTATTCCTATTTCATGTATTGTTCCCATTCTATAGCATGTTAATCAGCACTGCTGCCTTGTGGTTTTCTATTAAATTGCCTTGTGATTGACCTTGTGTCAGGGCCCAGGCACTTCCCGATTTTTAATGCATCCTGCTGATTGTTATTAATTTGAGAAAAGCCACTGATGGCTGGCTTAACTTCGAAGCAAGAAGTTTCCAAGGTGAGGCATTTCAAGGCCTGCAGCATTTGTGTTCCTCACGCTAAGTCAGACTTTGTAATTCAGATTGTATGGCAAGGTGCTGCCTCAGTGGTTCACTTCTCATAGTAACAACTGCCTTCCACTCTTTCTCAGCACTTTGTGATTTTAACTCAAAACATTCTCTTAGAATTGAAATTTTAATTCCTGCAGTTTGTTGAGTATTTGTCTCATAAATTGGCAGTACAACTCTCAGATTCATTCAGCACGTTAAAGTGTCCCTGCAGTTTTCATTTCAGCTTACAAAGATGTGTTACAAATTTTTGATACTGCTTATTATAGAGAAGGTAGCAAATCTTAGAAGAACAGAATTATTTTTTTCAGAGTGCAGATTATTCTTTATGTCATGGATCTTTTAAAACTTCCTTGTGGTTTAGTAGCATATGAACTGTTCAGGATTCATATGCTGTCTTGATTTCTAGCAGCTAGCCTCAATATTACTCTAGTTGTAATGTAGTGAAACAAGTGGTAGTGACCCCATGCAGCTACACGTGCAAATAGATTTAAATGGGACTTTACATGGATCCCGGGAGTTCCACTCCCCCATAGATTTGTGTAGCATGAGCTCTGTCCTGGAACCTCAGACCCACAGGACATCCTGAAGCATTCAGGTAAGGAGCTAGGAAAAGTGGTTGCCACAGAGGTGTATTGCCTGAATCTCTTTCTTTATAGGTTTTGTAGAATTTTTTCCAGTTAAGGTGATGCAATTTTATTGACTGCTTTTCTGTTTGCCAAGACTTGAATGACTGGAAGAGCACCTGGAGGATGCTAAGGCCTCCTGCACGTTATGCCTAAAGGCTGCACCAGAACAGTGTGGAAGCAAGCACAGTACACACACGCATGTGCCAGAGGTCTGAGAAACAGTCTTATGAAGTACATCATTTACTGGGGGTGTTTAAAAAAATTTGCTGAAAGAACAAGGGGTAACTATATGGAGATGAGGGCAAAAGAAGGTGGTTGTCAGAAGAGAGGAAGTGGCCAAGAGAAGCTGTAGTAAATGATAGGGTACTCCATATGACATGGAAGCAAACAACCACAGCATAATAGTAAGGTGCAGTACCAGAACACTGTGTATATTGGCTAAAGCATTAAGCAAGTTTGGATGATTATCTCCAGAAAGGAGGCTGGACAGTGGTTGCCAAGAAGTTTGCCAAAGGCTATGCTGTAACGTAACTGGAGCTGAGGAATTGATACCTCACAGAACTGGAAGCTGAAAGAGTTTACAGGAGAGGAAGTAGGCAGGTGATTGCAAAAGAAAGCAAGTTTTTGGAACAAGAAGTGGAAGAGAATATTTATGCTGGGCTTTAAGATTCAAAATGCTTAATTTAAGGTATGGACCATTTACAAGTAGGGTCTTTTACAGCACTGTATAGCAGAGAGTTATTAAAGGCTTTTTGCTGTACTATAGGATGATGAAATATGAATAATATATAGTGTTGATCTGTCTTTTGGTAAAAAGGACACTATTGTGCCCTGTTCTTGTAAAAATTTGACAATCAGTTCTTGTGTGTTAACCATTTGTAGCCCTTCCAGTTTTCAAGTAGGGTATCTCAAAAGCACTTTTTTTTATAAAAAGAGGAAAGAGTCGGAGTACATAAGGGAACTGAGGTGGACAGAAAGCAGAGAACATGCCCAGTGTCAGTTCTCTTACACATTTCATCATCATGTGATGTTAACACTACAGAAAGTCGTCTTTTTGCATTTAAGATATACATGTTCTATCTTTACACCAATGTTGCTATTTAGCAAGACCAAGCAGCATTCTGATTTTCAAGCTTTTGACTCATGAGAACAAAACCTAGCTTTTATGAAACTGGCCTCAAACATGAGATTTGATCATTTAAGCTTCCTTATTTTGAACACACAAAGAATCTTCTAGACTTTAAGAAAATTTTTAAAAATAATTCAAATACTGCTTCAGGTTTATGTTGTTCTCACGTACTTCTAAATTTTTCTGTGTCTTACACTAGCATATAAAGAAATACCCACAATTTTACATTAATGCTTTGAGTTAGGCTAGAGAACGGAAGAATAAAAAAATGACAGGATGGGAAGGTCAAATCATGTTTTGAGAAGGGATTTCCTGCTAAAAATTGTTTAAAATAATCTTCAGCAACTTCATCCTTTTCAGTAGTATCTCACATGAAGTTGATGAATCTTTTCTGAACTTAGAGCTGGCCAAAGAAAAGGTGCTCATTACTTTATATCAGAATTCAAGGAGAAAGAAAAACATGCAACATAAGGAAAAAAAAAAATCAAAAGAGATTCAGAAGTTTTCAGTCTTATAAATCCTGTTTTAAAATGGAAATGCAAATACTTAAAAAAACATTTGCAAATACTAACTCAGTCAAATCCCAGGTGAGTCAGAGGGTGTTGTGACAGAGTATAAGATCCCAGTGCTTTTTTTTATTCCTTGAGATGCAGTTTAATTGCCTGATTCACCTTTTTGACTATAGGAGAGGCAGTGAGTGATCTCCTATAGTTTCCAACACGGTGCAGTGGTGTTTTTGTTTTAGTTATTGTCCATACAATCTCCTTCAAAATTTTCTTAAAAAAAAAAAAAAAAAAAAAAAAAAGAAGTACCAGAGCTATTGATGGATCTATACAGAAAGTGCTGTTGAATCTCAGGTTTCTTGCTTCCTTTGAAGTTCTGCCTCTGAAAAGGAGGATGAGGAAGGGTGGGGCAGAGGTTTTGAAGCTGTGTCAGGGATGTGTGTGCAGTGAGAGGTGGCTGCCCTTCAGCACTACTGCATGTACAGTTCAAACCTATGACTCCAGATCCAGTGATGAGGAATTCTGTCCTAACACACTGCTACTTTAAGATATCTAGTTCATATTTTTTCTTACCTTTATTTGTTAAGCAAAGGTAACCAGGTATCACATGCTACAAAAAGTAATACATGTATTTTTTAAAAACAAAGCTTGCTTTCCATGTTTAAGAGGTTTTGAGATGTCAGCTTTTCTTTTTTGTTTTTCCTAACCCTCGACTTCCAGTCTTTGTTTGCATGTTACTGATAACTTGATTCCTCAGCTTTTAAAGGTGCTTTTGCCTATGTAATTTTAAGAGTGAACAGGATTTGCCATTTAAAGACTTTGCATTCCCACATTCCTTCTGAGTTTACTTTATCAAAGAGTTTATTTATTTGTTGCTTCTTCTAGTCACAGAAGTTACCAGTGTGAAATGGTTATGTTTAGTCTTATATGAAAGCAAGCATGATTGTTCTCTACAAATATATCTTGCTTACAAACTCCTGGCTCATATGGCATCTTGAGAAATGTTATGTTGTAAACTTAAATAGGTTTTCACTGAAAATATTTTACATTATAACAGTCTGCAGAGCTATGTTAAGTTACTGCTTTGGGGTGAAGATTATTATGTCAAGCAAAAGCATGGTTAATTGACATACCTTCTAACAGTGGATGCTTGGAAGAGACAGAGAGTTAACAGGACAAGAAGTAATCTTGTTGAGGTGCTCCCTGATAATCCAGTGTAGGGGATATTTAAAATTTACTAATGCGAACAAATCTTGTGTTAGATACAGGAAGCAGTAGTACAGCCCCAGAACAGCTCTTAATTGCTGGATTCTCTTTTTTTGCTATGGAACTCAGGGAACCTATAGACTCCTAAGTCTGTATTAGGCATCACTATTATATTGTATACTGGCAATGAGATTAGTAAAAATGACTGAGCAGTATGCCCTATGTTCCTAAGAAGGAACTTCTGGAAGATTGAAGAATCCATCAAATCAAAAGCTTGCTTTCTTTCTCTAAAGAAGGCATTTTATCCAGATCTAATTTCACGTATAAAATTACAAAGCATCACTTATTTTGCAGTAGTCATTATATACTTCTTCACAGCATTTTCATTTGGATTTTTCGAGTACCAGTTTGGTGCGTGCTTTACACACAAATTAAGAAATTAGTATAAATTTAAACTGTGTTGATATTTTTCCTGTTATTTAAAGTATAGCAAAACAAAACAAAACTGATCTACTGGAAAAGATAGAAAAGATAGATTTGTATGATCTCAGTGACAATACTGGAATCAGATTTGTTTTTTAATAAACAATGAAAAAGCTATTGTGCATTTTAAACAGACTAATCAAGCTGCAGGATGCTGAAAAGTAGGATAAAATTTGATTAAATACAGCCTTTGAAGAGGAACCTGACATCATTAAATGTTCTTTTCCTGATCAAAATCTGGGAATGGTCTTTTCCCTGGACTTATTCAGAACTGTATCTGGAACTTTTTAGTTAAATAAGCCTTTACAGAATTATTGCTTAACTTGCTGTATTTTAACCTCTCTAGGTAGAGGACATTCCTTGGATTATAAAGCACGTAGGGTGCAATGGCAGATCCCATCCACTGGACCCGGTATCGTTGGCAGCAACTGATGTCTACAGAAGGCAGAGAAGAAGGCAGTAGCAGCAACTCAAGTAACAAGCGCCATCAAGCAAAAAAAACTATTGGCAAACATAGGATAGTGATACCCTGCTTGGGACATTTTAAGGAAGAGTATGAAAAGGTATCAAAACTGTATATGAACAACAAAATACGGACTACTAAATATACTTTACTGAATTTTATACCACGCAATTTATTTGAACAATTTCACAGGTAATTAACTATTTTTATTTTGTTTGTGGAAATTCTTCTAAAGTGGATTTTTTTTTTTATTAATATATGTTTTTCCAACCTTCTTATCACTTCTGAAAAGGTCTGCGTTATTTGTCTAAAGACTGAATATCAGCCTTAGACTAATCCTTTCTTCAAAACTTTTGTTATTTCCACTCACTCTTCTCTTTAGATTAAAATATTATTTACTATTGGAGCACTTCAGTAATCTGAAGTAGAATTTTCAATTAATTCCCTGCAAATGTATTTCTTCCCTTCCCTCACATGTCTTATCTCTGGCCATTATTTTTTTTCCCTCCATCCTCCTGCTTGGAGAACTGCAGGTTTATAAAGAATGGCTCACTTAAAAATGCGTTATCTACAGGTTCACCACAGCCTCACTAGAAGACATATGCCTGGAAGGCAGGGTTGGAATTACAGTAAAATTCTTGCTTGCTGCACCTTCTTATCATGGGTATTAATTAGCCATTCAGCCAACTAATGTATTTGACTGAAGAGAGGAAAATGGAGTCACAGATACTTAGTTCTTTGCTTTTTCTTAACTCATACTGCAGTTCCTTCTTACTTAAGTAGTCTCTATACAGCATGGAGCAGGCAAATTAGAATGGCTGATAGCACAGCTAATTCTTATGTTTGCTCTTTATTTCAGAGTTGCCAATTTGTATTTCCTATTTCTGGTTGTTTTAAACTGGGTTCCCCTGGTGGAGGCTTTCCAAAAAGAAATTACAATGCTACCTCTGATAGCGGTTTTGACAATAATCGCCCTGAAGGATGGTCTGGAAGACTACTCAAAATATAAAATGGATAAACAGATAAACAACTTACTAACCAAAGTGTATAGCCGGTAAGAGACAACATTCTTTCTGATAATTGTTATTAAATTGATTCTTCTGGTTTACTCTCTGAACACACATAGAGAGAGAGAATAACTTAGGTTGGAAGGGGTCTCTGGAAGTCATCCCTCTAGTCTCATACCCTGCCCAAAGCATGCCTTACTAGATCAAATTGCTCACTGTACAATTAATAGGTGTACAGAGGTTTAGTAAAATTATCACAGTGGAAAGATAATCAAAATAAATGGAAATACCAGCACTGTAGGCCTGCAGTAAACTCCCCAAGGAACAATCTCCAGAAAGAGATCCTTCCTCAGTTGCAGTCAACACTTAAATGGGATCTAGGAGAGGTGGAGCCAGGCTCCACCTGGTTCAACCTCTCCAGTCGCACAGGTGAATTGCCTTCACCTGTGCTCCTGTGGCTGACTCCAGAGGTTCAGGCCGTGATCAACAGTTCCCATACACTCAGGAAGTTGTGTAGTTGAGTCTTGATCATTTGTTTAGCTAAAAAAAATATCAAACTAGCATAAAAATTGCTGGAAAAAATGTTCTTTTGTGGATGCCAGAGCATTCATATGTGAGTCTGCACTGCATTAACCAAGGAAGTTTTAGTATTATTCTTAATATCTTAAAATTGTTTTGGCATCATTGAAATTCAGTGATTACTATTTCATCATTATAGTGGTGAAAGTCATGAAAGCTGTCAGTGTTGTAACTCTGTACTCCTAATGTAATTTCCATTTTCCAATGCAGTACTATAGGTGGGATCTCACAAGGGTAGATAGAGTGGGAGAAACACTTCACTTGACCTCCTAGCTACACTTCTTTTGATACAGCCTGGGATATGATTGGCTTACTGGGCTGCAAGTTTATCATCAACCTGTACCTGCCAAGTCCCTCTTCAAGGACTGCTCCCAGTCCGTGCATCAGCCAGTCTGTACTGATGTTTTAGATTGCCTAGTCCAGGTGCAGGACTTTGCACTTGGCCTTATTGAACTTCATGAGTTTCTAACAGGCCCACTTCTCACACCTTATCACATGTCTCTGGATAGCATCCTTTCCTTTCATTTACATGTCAGCCACACCACTCAGTTTGGTGCCATCTTCAAACTTGCTGAGGAGTCCTCTCAATCTCAATATTTCTGTTGACAACGAAGGTATTAAACAGCACTGATCTGAATACAGACACCTGAGAGACACCACACATCACTGTTCCCTGCCAGCACATTGAGCACACAACTTCATGTGCTGCAAACACAAATACCTGATATAGCAGCTTTCTCACAAACATTTTATTCAGAGTATAAAAATTTGAGCTTAAAACAATAAAGTAGTTGAGTTGGGAAGATAAATGATTTTTCTTTTTCATGTTTGCAGAGAAGATTTGAGGGACAAGTCAGACCATTTCTGATATGAATTGCAGTATACTCTGAAATAATTCACTGCCAGAAGACAGAGGCATCCACTACACATTAATGACCACTGTTTGTTACTTGCAGTCTCACCAATATTAATGAAAGGGAATTAATTTCTGATCTTTTCTATCTTGATTCCTTCCCCAAACTAGTATAATAATTAGTTTCTGTATTAGTAATCTGTAAAAATGTCTTCCTGTGCCTATTGCTAGTGCTTTTCACTTTTCTTTCTGAACTTCTTTATTATGAATTATTCTATATTATATAGCCTGATTTAAAAAAAAACGAGGCTTGGTTTGGTAGAGTTAACTTTTTTTAAGCAACAATCCCTTACTGCTTTTATAAAACATGTTTGTAATAGAAACTGGTTTCACCATTCTTTCTTGTCCATGACAAAACAGGCCTGCCTTAGTGCCTTGATATATCTATCCAAGCAGCTATGTACTAGTTTTTTACATCTTTTGGATAAATTGGACTTGGTATTTTCCCTCTTATTTTTTCTGGCTTATAACAAATGAGTGACATCCATAGTTTCAGAGTTTTGGCTTGCTGCTTTTTATAGTTTTATTCCTAAGCCTGGAATTCACCCACTGGATGTATCAGAATTACTGTACTTAGCTTATAGTATGCAGAAATGGAGGCTACATTTTCTGGGAAAGTAGGTATATCAAGTAAAAATAACAGAAGAAGCATTGCATACTTTCAATTCCACATTTATTTAATAGATGGCGATTATGAAGAGAAACTGTTGCTGTCTGCTGAGGGCTAATCTCAACATCCGCAGTGGAGATGTTTTTACAGTTCTCAATGAAATACATAGTAGTTACAAAAAAAATCTAAAGATGCATAAGTAGTAGTGTTTTTCTCCTTTACTAAGCTCTAGTAAATGAGTACTTCAAGGGTAAATAGAAGCGCTGCTTTGTTACTAAATCTTTATCTCCAAATAGTTTTGTATAGTTTATCAAAATCTAAGTCTTAATCACTTTGAAAAATGCCTGTAGCAATCAGACCCAAAATCTACAGCTTTTAAGCTGAGATTTTATCTTACTACACAGTGATGTCATTGCTTTGTTTATGAACTTTGCCTTTCGTTCACCATCCTTACTGTAACTCTTCTAGATGCAAGCAAACTGTGAAAGTAATTTTTTCTTGCTGCTATCAGGTGTTCCCAAATCCTTTCCATCGCACCTAGGGGAAGCAGTAAAAGAGTGCTGTTGCGGAGTGACCAGAACATTCTGTTCCAGTCAGTGTTGTCTCTTTGGACTCACTTTGCCTCTTAGTGGGGAGAATTGGCTAAACACAAAAAAAGTGTAGATATGGTTTTCCATGCTTACAGAATAGCTAGTAACAGCATCTCAAGGACAAGCGTATATTTGGCTGAGGTTGGTTTAATTTTACATCAGCTTCTGCTTATTTTCACTAGAGATACTGTTATCAATATATTGGTTAATTATGTGGACTTTGTGCCATCTCATTGGAGAAAAGGATTTTTGAAAGGATACTGTCAGGCAACAGAGATCTGAAAGGTATGGGTGCAAAGCTTGACACAATAAATGTTTTTCTGATATTTTCTTTGTCATCAAGAGCATTTTACCAACTTGGTACTTCGATTAGAACTGGTAGATCAGTCTGCACAGAATTGCCATTTTGTAAAGTTTGTTATCTTAAGTCTGTACTGTGGAAGCTAGGTGCACTTTCCAGCTTCCTGGTTGCAACTGCACTTTTCAGCTAGGTAAGCCAGAGTGAGATTTAGAAAAGGATGTACAACATGAAGATGCTTCCAAGACTGTGAAGAGTACATTCTCCTCACTTTAAACATAGCTCTAGGATTAGCCTGTGAAAGCTATTAAAACCTGCCAACTACCAAGGCATAACACAATGGAAAATATGGCAATGACAGCATAGAAGCAAAGTTCTAGGCTGCAGCAGATGAGGATGTGCTCAAACACAGCAACTGTGGACACAGAAACATAGGAAAGAATCCACTTACCTTCAAAAGGTGTCATATACATAGGAATTTCCAGCAAGATACCCTTGCCTCCACTGCCAACCCTTAAGTGAGGTCTGGGAGGGGATGAATCCTGACTCCACCATTTCCAGTCACTCAGGAGCATTGCATGCACTTGGGCTCTTCTGGGTTGGCCCTGCCTTCCCACCAGGTGCTCAATCACTGTTTCAAGCTGTAACTTAGCATTTCTGCTATACAAGGATAGTAACAATATCAAAAATGTACTGCATCCAGACACGTACAGTGTTTGTATCAGCAACCCCATTTCAGTGGCCTACTACTGTATACCTCCAGTCAGCTCCTTGTTGCTTGCTACCTCCCAGCCTATTCACTCTAATTCTGACTGTGCTTGCAATAAATTGCTGTAATTAAATAAAAAGGATTATTCTTTGTCTCTGTTGAATACGGGAGAGCAGATAGAAATAGAAAGTTGAAGAAGGCACAAACTTCTGTATATCATCCCTGTATTTTTCATAATAATAAAGAATTTCAACTTTCTCTCTCGAGTATTGTAGGTTCTTTGTACCTTATGTTCAAAAACTATGGGAAAATATTTAAAAGCCATAAATACAAGTATTTATGCTTGGAGCATTAGTAAAGCAGTTGCTGAATATTCTTTGCTCACTGGTAAACTGGAATAATAAAAGTATAGGAATCAAGGGGCTGAGTTTTGAATTAGGCTAACATAATTATGAGAGGGTAACAGGAATGTAATTCCCAGCAAAACAGGTCTGGGACCTCAGAGCTGATCAAAGAATCATAGAATTGCTTAGGTTGGAAAAGACCTTCAAGATCATCAAGTTCATTCTGAACCTAACCATACTACCCTAACTCTAACAACCACCGCTAGATCATGTCCCGGAGCACCACAGATTCTTTGTTACTGTCACCTTGAGATGTTAGACTCTCTCATCAAAATTCTTAATAACTTGAAAGTAGAAGTTCAGTATTGGAGTCATTTCCTAGGTACAATCTGTTTCTTTGAACTTTCAGTTTGGGGTGTTTTTTTGTTTGTTTTGTTTTGTTTTGTTTTTTAAATTGTTCTAATGTTTTTATATCCATTTCAGAAAAGAGAAGACATACGTAGATGAACACTGGAAAAATGTCAATGTTGGAGACTTCATCCGGCTTTCATGTAATGAAATTATTCCTGCTGACATGGTGCTGTTATATTCCAGTGACCCAGATGGGATCTGTTACATTGAAACTGCAGGTCTTGATGGAGAAACCAATCTAAAACAGAGGCAGGTGGTGAGAGGATATTCAGAGCAGGTGATAATTTTGCATTTCAAGTGGTTTAAGAAAGTTGATGTGACAGTCAACAATAAAAACCTTAGTCCTCTATATTGCCTACTGTTCAGCAATCCCCATCTGAAAATAGAATAAATAGATGATATAGTTTTAATTTTTTTGTTGTTATTTTGGAGCAAATCTTTGTCTGCTCACTCAACCCAGAGAAAGAGAGCTCTATTTCAAGTGAAGTAAAACTAACTTTTCAGGTAAATGTCCAGTCGTCATGTGTAACACATACCATTTAGTGGCTGTGAAATTAGAAGAATTTTTTTTTTAAGGGAGTTCAGTGCCATGTAAAAACAGAGAGAAGAATAGAAGACTTCTTTTTCATTGTATTTTCAAATGTATTTTTAGCTCCTAATCTAGACCTTCAAGGATTTATAAAGTCTTTGGAACTCTTACAATTTTTTTAATCTATACCTGTCAAGACTGAACATCATCATCTTATAGTTTTCACAGTGGTGGTCAGAAATTAGTGCAGTCTTCAGCACACCTGGTAACTGAGTGGAAGCACTGCACTGACAACATCAGCAGGGAGATTCAGTGTTGTCCATAAGAATGTGCTGTTAACAGACTGGAGATAAAATTACCTGAAATGCCTCTGAATTGTGGTGAGGAGGTGAGAAGAAGTACCTTGCTGTTCATTTAGATTTGTTTGTTACTTAACAAGCAGGGTAATATCAAATGCATCTGTTAACCATAAAGAAAGCTGATTTTCTTTCTCCCATTCTTTTTTCCCCAATTTTAGAATGAGGTAGTCATGCTGTCCCAAAAAGTGACAATTTCTTCACCATAAAAGACTGCTCATTTTTGTCCTCCAAGGAAAAAAAAAAGGCCATGTTGGTGTCCTGTCAGGACTGCAGTTTCTGATAGTAGAGTAGTTAACTTCACAGCCCTCTGGTGTCCTGACAGCTCAGCTCCAGACAGAGGCTTTGTCCTCTCGAACTCAGTCTGATTAAGACTGTGGGAGTGCTGTGTATGTAGACAGAGTATGACTATCTCTCTTCTTAGTTTCTCAAGCTCAAAAGAATAGGAAGAACGTAAATCAAATTAAAGAACATTCGAAGACAAAGACTATAAGGTTGTAACATAATGTAAAAATATTACGTTCTGCATTTTTATGACTGAACAAACACAAGTACGAACGTCATCAATAGGGCACTTGTTTTTGCCCTTGGGGCTCCTTTGGGAAGGCAAGGCAACATTAGAGCCTAAAAGAGAAGCTGAAACTCTCGTAGTTAATTTTTTGTCAACTTAAAATAGCGTAATTTATTCTTTTTTTTTTTCTGTATGTACCTCATTGAAAGAAATTAAGAAGGTACTGCCAAAGGCTTATAAACAACAGCTAGCAACATACAACAAGGCATAGAAGAGTGTTTCCGACCATCTTCGCTTTCCTAGAGAAAAAGACAAAAAAATTGAGGATCTTTTCCCTAAGGATAACAATTCTTTTTAATGAACAAACTGACATTGCCCTGCTGCTTTTAGTTCACTCCATTAAGAAGGAATTAATTTCCTTTTCCCTCACACCTCTTATGATTAGCTAAATCACACATTTATTGGTGTGAGGAAGCTGATAAACCATTAGCACTAAATCAGTGTGAGCAGTGATTCCGCTTATGTTGTAGGACTGGTCACAGGACTGCACCATTCAGTTCTTTCTCAGCCTTTCATGGCCAATGACTGAGTTCTGTCATAAGTACAGTATCCTCATATTTAATGGAAGGGAAAGTGCTGTCCTTTTCTTCCAGGCAGCCCAGGAGTCCAATCTGACAAAAGGATTTGCCAGCTCTCCATTTCCACTTTGTCTATACACCACATTCCTATATTGTATTATCAAACCATATATTTTGCCATTTTGTGTTCCACAGCCAAAGCAGCAAGTGATCCTAAGATACCAGTATCTCAGCTGATACTTGCTAGTGTTTGATATTTACTAGGAAATCCTGTATAAGTCTGGGTTGCATGTAGATCATCAACATCATTAGCAACTTTAAATGTTGAGTTAAATGGTTTGACAGTGATGTCTAAACCTACAAATTTATGAAGTTTCCAAGTTCTATCATATTTGGTCTCAATTGTTTTTTTGTTTGTTTGTTTACTTTCTCTTTTTTTTCTTTTTTCTTTTTTTCTTTTTTTAAATAACTTCAGGTCTCTGAAATTGATCCAGAAAAATTTTCTGGTAGAATAGAATGTGAAAGTCCTAATGATGACCTCAATCACTTTCGAGGCTTTGTGTAAGTAAGCTTGGTGGCTCTTTAAACTGATGTAATTTGCTTTGGTGTTCTTACTTATTTTCAGAGGGCTTATAGTGTTTTCTTTAAAAAATGACAATGTGTACATAAGCCAGTGTGCAGCACTATATTTCTGAGTGCAGCCAGGCAGGCAGAGCTCCCGAAGGAATTTCTAAACACCTGATTGTGAACTGGGAAAGCCCACTAGCTCTTTATATTTCATATTAAATATTTTCAGCATGTTCAGGTTGTTTTGCAAGTGGTATCTACCACATTTGAAATGGCTGCCTTTGATCTGCTGTTAATGACATGTGATATCAGTACAGAATTCAGTCTGGACCATGGCTGCTTTGGTCAGAATTTGAAACGGGAAGAACTGGCTTCCCTTCCTACTCTCGTGTGTTCTGTGTAACTCTCAGACATTTATTCAAACTTTCATCGTTACCTTTCGTCTGTTTTCTTGTTAAGGGTCTGTAATTTTGTGTGGCCACTAGGAAAACAAAATATTATTTCATGGAGTGGTTAATTTTCATTTTTTGGGATGTATAATGTCTACATTCTTCCCTGTAAGCAATGGCATGTTAGAAATATGAAGAGAAAACGAAATACTTTTATTTATCTTTCTCCGAGGAAAAGTCTTGACAAACAGGGCATATCTGAATTGAAAATGTGGCACGGATAACAGCGCTTACAGTACTTTTAAAATGGGATTTATAATTTTTTAATTTTTTTTCTGATGCTGACAATCCAAATAGAAGTCATCTGCTTTCAGACTGAATTGTCCTGCAGTCATTTCAGCAGGGCTGCCCGCTCTTCAGATGCCAGCATGGCAGATGCCACGCATATTAACATTTTAATACAGTGCTTAGATGCCTAGAATTACGGAGGTGATCTTGCATGCATGTTACTCTCTTCCTTTGAAAGGTCCAATCAGAAGCATCAGAGAGGTAGTCAGTGACAGGTAGATTCTCTTGGTAATCTACTCCCTAACGCTTTTTCAAAACCTGACTGGTAATTGCTGAAGTCCTGCAGCCAAATTTATGTGCTGCTCTATGGGTTGGGTTTTTCTGTTGTTGTTTTTTTTCCAGTGAGAATTCAAGCAAGGATCGAGTGGGCCTCAGCAAGGAGAACTTATTGCTGCGAGGATGCACAATAAGAAATACAGAAGCTGTTGTAGGCATTGTGGTATACGCAGGTTAGTGATCTACCCTGGCCTTCTCAGATTTTTCTTTGCCTTGCAAAGAAGATGGAATTATGTGCCTTAAGAAGCAGTACTGCACAGAGGCAAAGTAGACAATTCAAAGATTGAAACCAGCAGAAGGCAGCTTAGATTGAAGCATTAAGAATGCAAATCTGAACTCTTTGTTTTGGTTTTAAAAATGTAAAAGGCTGGTATGTCTGATTATTCATGGGAAGCCTTCTCTGTTCTATGTACAAGTCCTTGTCCTCAACTGTTAGCTACAATGACAAATCAAGGTTTTGAAACGAAAGTGGGGATAGCTGCCTTTGTTAGAATTTTTTCTGGTCCAGAACTGAAGTTAATGCCGTTCTAAAGTCAAAGGGCTGAAGTTTTAAGACTAGACATTATAATGTATTCAGGCAGATAATTGTAATGCAGGTGCAGAATTTTGTAGAAAATACTAGAGACTGTATCAAAAACTTCAGAAAGGAATATAATAGGAATATTATTTACAGTATAAGAGATAATATGTAGAGAAATTATGCTTTAGCTTTTTTAGTTTTCTTTAAGACTACTACTTTAGGAGCAGTTAGTTTGCTTGCATTTATATTATCTTCTCACATATTAGTTAACAAGAAAGTCCAATTTCCCAGAGCTTTAGAAATATAAAGGACTTTTGGTTTTCGTACTTGCAAATAGAGAATTTCAACCTCTGTTGTGATTACAGGTCATGAAACCAAAGCCATGCTGAATAACAGTGGACCTCATTACAAGCGCAGTAAATTGGAAAGAAAAGTGAATTCTGATATTCTGTGGTGTGTTCTGCTTCTAATTTTAATGTGTTTAACAGGTGCAATTGGTAAGTGTGAATGTGCAGACTCCTGCTGCTTTCCTCTGTCAGCCCTGATGTTTTAATTTGGGGCCAATTCATTTCAGTAGCCTATTTCAGAAACTGCCTTTTTCCGTATCTAATTCTTTATCAGCAGGGAATGCTGCCAAGTTTTAGTTTATGTTGTCATGTTTAATCAGTAGTTGGTCAATGGGTATGTTCCTAGTGTGAGTTCTTAAGTCTAAAACCTGCTTCTCCAATTCATTTTCTTGTTTCTCTCACTAATTGCTCTGTAATACTTGTACTTTGTGTTAGGTTTGTTGAAGTAAAATGAAATGCTTGTACAGTATTGCAGGGAGAGGCCTAGTTTGAGTAGTAACAAGGACTTTCTATTTTAGGGTTTTATGAAATAGTGAGCTTGAGTACTAAAGTTTGAAAAGAATACATTTTGTAATGAACCAAACGAGTGCTTAAAAAGTGTTTAAAGAACTTTGTCAAGTTACACTAAATAGACATGTCTGGCATTACAATATGGCTTAAACATAAACATAAACATAAACTGGGTTTGTGATTTATACTGTTTCTTTTCTGTGACAGTATTTGTATCACAATGCTGTAAAGTGACCAGAGTGGCTTCGTGACATACCACAGCTGAAAGCTGGAAAAGCAAAGATGTGAAATTTAATAACTAGAGTTTGGGGTAGGAAAAAAAAAAAAAAAGTGTTTATGAAACATAGCTAGTATTCTCTTAGTTTTGAGATGGGTTGCATAGATGTACTGTTGACACAACTGCAGTAAAACATTTATTCATGTGTGCATTGACACTTCATGCATTTTAGTGGGGTTCCTATCGAGGAAAATACTTCTCTGGAAGCTCAGAAGTACCTAAACTATTACACAGTCAACATTACTGATTCACTTTTTCTTATTTTCTAGGCCATGGAATTTGGTTAAGTAGGTATTCAGATATACCTTTTTTTAACATCCCTGAACCAGATGGGAAATCGATTTCTTCTATGTTAGCAGGGTTCAATATGTTCTGGACAATGATCATTTTATTACAGGTAACTTTGGTCTGTTTTGATCATGAGCCATATCCTGATCTCACTTATGTCCTTGAAGTAACTCTTTGGTTTCAAAAGAGTTAACTCATGTTTGCATGTGGCTAAAGAATTTGGTCTCTTTTAATCCTTGTATTTTGTTTCAATAGGTCTTGATTCCTATTTCTCTCTATGTTTCAATTGAAATTGTCAAACTGGGACAAATTTATTTAATACAAAATGACATTGATTTTTACCATGAGAAAACAGACTCTACGATTCAGTGTCGAGCATTGAATATTGCTGAAGACCTTGGCCAGATTCAGTATATCTTCTCAGACAAGACTGGAACGCTCACTGAAAATAAGATGGTTTTTCGGAGGTGCAGCATTGCAGGACAGGAATATTGCCATGAAGAAAATGGTAAGGTGCTAAATCCATGCTTGTGGTAGTCCTTTTTCCATTCTCAGAGAAACTTCAAATTGTGATGAAGACGGGTGTTTCTGAGATTTGTGTGGCAATATGTAATTACAGAAGGTGTGGATTTAGGCTGGTCTAATTTGGATCTTTCCCCGTTTGGATCACTTCATGTGCAGCGTACAGAGACTTGAAAGTGTATGTGAGGTGCTACTTTACAGTTAAGCCTGTGCATATTTGATACCACACACAGAACGCTCTTTACTTTCTGACATAGTTACATAAAGTGTTTGATTCAGCTACCTGTTTTATCAACTAGATAAAAACACAAAGATTTTATTATTATTACTTGATGTTAACTGCATACATTTGCTCTTTCACTGGTGAAGATCAAAGATGAAGTGCTGAGAGGTGGATAGACCAATCACAACTGTGTATTAACCACTCTCTGTGGTTTTGCTGCCAGATGGAACCACTCACTTTTGGCAAGCAACAGGCACACCCTGCTGGTCTCAGAGTGCATGGGCTCTTCTTTTGTTCACTGGTGGTTATAAATCATTTTAAGAGTAATTTCCTCACGTATTTTGAAAATCATGTGATGTAGGTGTCATGATGGTTCTTTGGCTTTGCGTAATTATACTGGGAAGGATATCTCAAGAGCAAAGTGAAAAGAAATGTATTTTAAGTTTAGAATTTGATGAATGAATAACTTAAAAAGGTAGATATATTTTCAGAGCACTTCTTAAAGAAATGAAAAGCGTTTCAGAAGAGATGAATTGTGACTGATCTAAGTCTCTTTGTGCTTGGCATATGTCTGCCACTTAACTTCTACTACTTACTTCCCTAAGTATCCCTAAGTATCTTCCAATAGTATCGTGTGTTAATTATGTTTATAATTATTTCCTATTGTACCCTGGCTTTTATTTGGAGATAAAGCATGTCCTTCCTAATAAATCTAGAAATTGTGTGCCCTGAAAATCAATCTGAAAAATGTTGGAGGTCCTATGTTTAACTCTAATTTTCCTTTGGTCAGTTGCACAAAGCTGCCATTTGCCTGGCTCCTACTACATGCAGTAAGAGATGCACTACAAAGCAGTTCAGTCTTTTGCATATGACTCACTTAGTCTGTACATATATTTCTATTTGTATCTCTGTTGCCCAGAGCAAAGGGCAACAGAGATTTTACTGCGTTGTAGTAAAATCCTCTATATAGGTGTCTATATGCAGTGTTATGTCTAAATCAACTTGTGCTTTTTAGGCTATCTCAGCAGAGCACTGTAGTATTACAGGAGGTGCCACCTATGTTACTTCAGCCAGGGTGTATGATCTCCTTGGCAGGCAGGGAGCATAATTGTAATAGATGTGTGTTGACTAGATCTGTCTCTGCAGACATACTGCTGTCTTTTTGAATTTTTTAATGTGTTTTCAGTACTTCTGTTGGTGGCCAGTTCATTACCTTCCTGTGCATTTTGTTCTAGTGTTTCATGTCTTGTTGGATAAAGTTTTTCTGTTATCTAATCTGAGCCTGTCTTATCACAGCATAGGAATATTGTGTCTCCTATTACCTACAGTGTGTCAAGAAAATAGACTAATTCCTTTTTCTGTGCAATTCCACTTTTTGTACTTGAAAACTGTTATTTGGTTCTCAGTAATGTTCCCTTCCGAAGGCCTGTAACCAGCTTACTCTACTGTTTCTGTGATTGTTCTTTCTCTTGCTTCTGGATTCTCTCCAGCAGAACAGCACTCTCGAAGTGCTGCATCCCAAATGGCAAGTCAGTGTGATAACTTATTATGGCTTGATTTTTTAAAAAGAGCGGATTATTCTTAACTGTATACTAAATTTCTTATTTTAAAATTAAGTTTTATTTTAGACAAATTTCTTTTTGCTTACAGAATAATAATTTTCTTTCTTTAGCAAAGAGGTTGGAATACTATCAAGAGAGGGATTTGAAAGATGAGGATTCAGCTGAAGATCGTTGTGCCTCTTTGGGCCACACGTCAAAATGGAGAGGACACGACTGTGGAGCTGAGAATGAATCTTTGAACAGAAAATCTTCAAATCTGTTATCTGGTATTTACCCTGAATTAGGGAGGGATCATTCATCAAGTGATGCTCCCTGCTCAGGACATGTTGCTTTCAGCAGCTGCATTGTAAGTAAAAGTTGTTAGTTTTTATAATGAATTTTTGAAGTAACTAATAGAGGAACATTTTTTTACTCCCATTTTAATAGAGTGCTTGAAATTTAAGACATCCTTTCTCTTCCATCAAAATGAGACCTCCCATTGTTGCTAGGCTGCAGCCTACTTGCAAGCTGATGTTGCGGTTATTTATTGGATTACAAAGATGTGTTGTTTGGATCTTGCTGGTGTGATTTCATGATCTCTCTGCTAAAATGACAAGCTTCATTTTCAATAAAAGTTTGTTCCTTTGCCTTAAGAAAGCATTTTACTTTGCTTTCAATAGGAAATATCTAGATAAACAATACTAATCCCATTGCATTTAGTGGAGATTACTAGGATTAAAAACATCTGTAGCTGATTTTACTGCTGGAGACCAAGACTATTTTGAAATTTTCTGCCATTGGTTTCTCAAGTCTCTGGTAGCAGTGTCTGGGGAATGATTATTTTCTCCTCATGTATGAGCTCTATATATAAAGTAAGTCTGGAATGAACTTGCGACCCTGAAATGGTATGATCTAGAAGCCCATTTGAGATTGCCAGGGTTTATATCCTAATTCACAGCTTTGTTTGTTTAATCCATAGGAAACAGATGTTGTACCAGATACACAACTGCTGGAGAAATTTAGACATATTTCTTCTCTTTCCTATCAAGAATCAGAAGACAGTATCAGCAAGTTAGCTTTGGAGACAATGTACATCACTGACTTCTTTCTTGCTCTGGCAATCTGTAATACTGTTGTTGTTTCAAGCCCCAATCAGCCACGTCAAAAGGTAAGAAGGTATTATATTTGTCTATATCAACATATTTATAAACGAATTTCCTTTAGTTTGATTGCAAAAGGAGAAAAAAATAACTGGCATTCGGGATCTGAACCTGCAAGCTTGATGCTTCTTAACATTCACAATATATATTTTGAGATTAAACTGCAGTTATGGGTTGTTGGTTTTTTTTGCTGTATTCTATTATCTTTTACCAGATACGTGCACAGCTTCCTTTAAGAGTGCCCTAACACTCAAGTTACCTTTACAAATAAGTTATTCTTCGCTAAAAAATATGAATAGTCCTGGAAGACTTCTAAAATACTGGAACTGAAAAAGCTCTTACCTGTTACTTGACTATATTCAAATAGAATTCCAGCAAGATATGGAGGATCAAGTTTAATGTGTCTAATAATTTGAAGAAAAAAAATGCTTTGCAATATGGTTAGTATAAGGTGGTCTCATCTTCAGTGTACAATGCATTTGTTAGACTGTTCTGGTTTAATAATCAAGAGACTTTTAATGTTTCCCTGAAACCATTTCTTATTTTCTGAGCACGCATCTAATATTTATTTAAAGATATTGCTTTCATTTTAAAATCTGTTGACTTTTTTTCAAGGTGGGATTCTTATAAGCCATCTTCTACCTAATTTGATTGTGTGGCAGGATAATCCCAAAGTTCAGCCTTGATTTCCCTTCCCACAAATGTGATAAAGATTTGTTGACTTCATCTTTCGAAAAAAAAAAAAAAATTGTGACATGTACAGGAATAGGTAGTGCATGTACATGTATGGCTGGCGATGTTTCCAAAAGGTACCCTGTGGAGAATAAAGTACTACCTATATATAAAATGCCTGTTATAGTGTCCTTCCAGACAAGTCAACATAGTAGGCAGCCTGCAGTGAACACGTGGATGGGGCATCTGCATTATTAAATAATAACCCAACCTTCACCTGTGAGTTTTTCATTTCTTAGAGAATAATATTTCTGGGTGACTTTTAGAAGAGGAGATGTCCAAGTCAGTCGTAGCTGGGTTGGGAGGAGCAATATATGGCATAAGGATTATGGGGAATGATAATGACAAAGGCAACAAGTTTTCAGTGTTTCCTGAGGGAGAGAAGATGAAGGAATGTTTCTAGTCTGTATCTCTATGATGCTGAATAGAGACACATTACAACTTGCGTGCAACTGGGATAGAATTTAAGCAGGAATCTTTTATTTCTTGATTCTTTAGGGTGCCTATCTTTTATTTTGTTCAATTCCAACCAAAAAAGCATTGGTGAAGTACTGTATTTTTAGCATTACTAGTAGCTAGTCACTGTGAGAAGTATGGAGCTGATTTATTCTTTGCAACTATCTTGCCTATTGAGAACAAGTATCTAGTTCCATTCAACACAACTTTTAAAAGTTCCATTGCTTAGATATTTCTAGAAAGAAGTATTACATGGAGTCATGCATCAAACTGGCAATACATGCAGTTTTCAGATCTGAAGTATTTTTACAATTTGTGTGGTTTGAATAGGTGAAGCTCTCACAGAGCTGTTTGGTGTACTTATATGGTAATATGTTTAATTGAGCTGGCTATTTTTAATACAAGTGATCAAAATGATCAAGCTTTTCAAGTTTTACTACATTCATTAAGAAATGTGTGGTTTGTAAGCTGTCTTTCTTTACTTAAATAACATATGAAGACTTTATACTTTCTCTGACTGTTCTGTTGCAGATGAGACGCTCTTCACTGGGAAGAATGCCTATTAAATCCCTTGAGGAAATCAGGCAGATGTTCCAGAGGTTGTCAGTCCGTAGACTAAGTTCCTCCCCACTTCCAAGTATAAAAGAGTCATCATCTGAAAACCCAAACAGTTTTGTGAGCAAACTGTCCATTTTCAGAATGAAACTGGCTTCACCTGCTTTGGATGGAGCTGCTCAAAGTACTGCTGAGCCTCACAGTCAGAACAGGCCAGAAAATCCCCAGTTAACCAAAGAATGTTATACAGTGAATGTAGCTGCTGGCTGTGAAACCCACAGTGCTGAGTCATCTGCTGAATGGTCTCCCTTACCTAAGCTTTGTTATGAAGCTGAAAGTCCAGATGAAGCTGCCTTGGTCCATGCTGCTAAGGCTTATAAATGTATTTTACAGTCTAGGACTCCTGATCAAGTTACTGTGGATTTTGCAGGTCTGGGATCTTTAACATTTCAGCTTTTGCATATCCTGCCTTTTGACTCAGTGCGAAAAAGGATGTCAGTAGTGGTTCGGCATCCAGTCTCCAACCAAGTGGTGGTGTACACAAAAGGTGCAGACTCAGTCATGATGGATTTGTTGGGAACTGCACCTGAAGGTATTTGTAGAACTTTTAATTCTTTGTTCACCTTTATCATTCTTTGGTACAGTTGACTGCATGCCCTGATTTGTAAGAAGAGCCAAGTAACCCAGCAGAACTACTATCTCTGAGTTGCTTTTAGGAAACCCATAAAGGTATTACAGCTTCTCACCTACATATGGCTGTGCTGTATGCCATTCTGGAAACTGAGAACAGAAAGCTAGCAGTAATTCAGAGATTTTGTGGTGTCTAAGCAGACCTCTTGGAGCCAACTGTAGTATTTCCAGTCATAAAGTAAGGTCATCTGCTGAAATAGTTGTCTCCTGCTGTGCAGTGACAGGTGTTTATTAAGATGAGATACTTTCACTGCTTTTTGACTGTTCTTATTTTTTCTGGATTACCAACTATTTCTGTGGTTCTAGATGTGTTAATAATATCCTGTGTCTGCAAAATTGCGTGCTGCCTCCTGCTGGGTGCTGTTGTTTTTGGGTAAAGGTTCTTGGAATCTGCCACAGAAGGAACATACTGTGTTACTTAAGCACTAATCATGATTTATTCATACACTGTATCAGGCAGTCATTGATTTATAACTGAAGGCATATTATCTGTGTGTGTAAGAAACATGTCCCTGCATATATTTAAGTTCAGACGTTACAGGGTCTTTTTTAATGGTTGGGAAGGTAATGGAATTTACAGGTTTACTATCTGCAAAATAGAACTTAGTTTTCATGTTCCATGGTTTATCTCAGTGAGGAAGTGGGATGTATACAGTTCCACAAGCATATTTTAGCCCAGCACTAGCCAAGCAAGGTCTAGACAGAAAGCCTCTGCAGGCAGTGAGATAGAAAAGGAGTCTCCAAAGTCTGTCTATAGGGCATAATTTCATGTCTGGAGGTACGTCTCCTTTGGCTCTCAGAGTAAACTTGCAATCTAACTTCTGCATGTCCAAACATAGATGAGTTAATCACCTCTCTGAATAGTCCATGCATTAATGATTAAAAAAAAAAAAAAAAAAAACAGCTTTTCTGTGGTAGCCCTTCTGGCTCCCTCCCACTGTATCAGAACAAAGCTACTTTGGTGTCTGTGGCCCAGTTCATTTTAGAAGATGATTTTATGTTAGAAAAACACTTTGATATGCTAGTATCTATGAAGACATATGCCAGACTGGTTCCCCCTCACTGCTTGTGCAGACTGGCCCTCTCCATGCATTCTAAAGATACAGCCACAGCACACTGTGCAAACATGAAGTATGCTCGGAGTTAAAATAAAACCCATAAATATTTTGGAATTTTTAAACCATATTTAGACCTTCAAAATTTTCCAGTAAATTTACTCTAAGAATGAATATTTAATTTGCTTTCTTTACTTTTTATATAATGGTAGATACCAAGAATTCAGAAATGGAACAGAAGAATATTAAAGAGAGAACCCAGAATCATCTGGATGACTATGCCAGAAAGGGACTGCGCACTCTTTGTATTGCTAAAAAGGTGGGGTTTTTTGTATGTACTTTTAAGAATGTTTACAGTAAATGATGAGCAGGAGTGTTTTTTCCAATGGAACATATGTCACCACTTATAAACTAGATGTTCTCATTGCCACATTTCATTTATCCTTACTTTCTTTCAGGAAGAATTTGTACGTTGACACAAAAAAAAATCTGTTTTCAGTTAGATTCACATACCTGTTGTCACTTTAAAATGCCAGACAGTTTTAATAGCCTAATTCTAGAACAAGGGATGTAAAATATCCTGATTTTCTTACATGAGTCCTGAGCGGCTCTCCTCATGTGAACCTTGCCCTGGTTGGAATTCTTTTCTGGATACAGAAAACAAATGTAGTCAGGCCTGTCTTATTGGGTCTCACACCGTCTGTGGTGTTATAGGACCTGTAGGCAAAACTGTGTAATGTTATGAGATTCTATTATAAATTAAAAACTGCTCAGAAGTAAAATTCCATAGCAACTGAAACAGGAAAGGAAACTCTCATGCAAAGTGAAATCATAGGCTGTGTAACTAACTGTACAGGCATCAGGCTGTACCAAGGTGTGCAGTGATTCTGTGGCTGTGTCAATGAGGCAATTAAAAAACAGTAAGAAGGATACTGTTCTCCTTGGCCTTCCTGCCTTCCATATAAGTGGAAATATATCAGGCAACTCCAGGTGCCTGCAAGCTTTTGGTTAGCAGCCTGACCTGTGAATCATACTAAGTCTGTCGACACACTGGGGTACACATGTAACTGCACTGTCAGGGCTGTTAAAGGTTTAGTATATGGATAACAGAGATGGCTCTGAGGGATGCTCTTGGAGTACATTTGAAGTGAAATCTAGACACATCTTCTGTGTTTTCTTTCCCTCTGCAGGTGATGAGTGATGAAGAATATACAGAATGGTTAAATAATCATTTTTTAGCAGAAACCAGCATTGGCAATAGGGAGGAGCTGCTGCTGGAATCCGCCATCAGGCTTGAAACCAAACTAACTTTGCTTGGTAGGTAAGAAAATGCTGTAACTCACAGGAAACCCCTTATGATGGTTATAATCTGAATTCACTGTATGAACCTCTATTTGTACAATATATAGCTTTCTACACATCTAGAATTTGTTGACACTCCTGGGTGTACATAAATCTTGCTGCACGTTTGTTATAGTTGCAGAACCTACTGAAGGCAGCTTGTAATCTTCTGTTGTTCGTAAGGCACAATGTTTTACTTTTTTTCTGTGTGCATCAGAGTTTTTCTGTGTCATCATAATAAGCATGTGAAATGATGGCAACTAATCACAAGACCACTTCTGGACAATATTTTATGCTATTGTTGAATTTTGGGTGGGATAAGTATGCGTGGTGAAACTGGCTCCTGTTGGAGTAAGAAGGGATCACATACCTCAAGAAGGGAGTGCAAATTGTTTAGAGTGCCCAGGCTGAAACAACTTCTTTCCTCTCTTCCCTTGATGTCTGTCAGGGAAGCTTGCATCCAAAAAATTCCAGCATCTTCCTTTCTGGAACTATTTTGACTTTTGACTTGCATCAAAATGCAAGCAGAGTGCAGAGCAAAGAATTTTCATTTTCCAGGTGACTAATGGACATCACCAGTTTGCTTGACTTCTTGGCTCTTGTCCGTCCTCATAGGACAGTCTGCTTTAAATACAAATTGCTCATTAGAATCCCTCCTCACTAGAAACACTTTAAGAGAGAAAACTTTACTGGGGATTATTTTATTGTTTATTTGACAAAATGAGTCTAGCTGCAAGTGGCTGAAGTTTGTTTTTTTTTATAAACTTTCTTAGCCTGACTATCCCACACAGTGAGTTTTACGTATTGTCAGCTGATCAAATATTCCATTCTCCTATTGTTTTTAATTCCCAATGCACAACATGATGTTATGATGTGGAACACTAATAACCAAAACTGTAAAAACATGACAGACTGTAAGGAGGGCACATGTCAGCGTACCCATAACATGTGATGGACTTTGAGACAGAAAGACGAGGAAGGGGGAGATTCCCACGCATATTGTAGCAGGGTGTCTGTTCTGGAATGTGGATACGCACAGGGACTGTCTTGTCCTGTCACACCTGCAGACTTGCTTCTTGAAATACAGCAGTGCTAATCCATCTGCTTGTCTAAATTAAGGTGCCACTGGCATTGAAGATCGCCTGCAAGATGGTGTTCCAGACACAATACAGGCATTACGGGAAGCAGGAATAAAAATATGGATGCTGACAGGTGACAAGAGAGAGACAGCTGTCAACATCGCCTATGCTTGTAAATTGCTGGAGCCAGATGACAGAATCTTCACACTCAAATCACAAAGTAGAGTGAGTAGAAAATTACACTTTTTTTCAGTGTTCAAGAGGGTGTTTTATTTTGTTTTCTCCGCCAAAAAAAAAAGAAAAAGCCATCAGGCAATATCACAGGACTGTATGGGAAAATAATATATTCTCTGTTTTCTCATCTCACAAAAGATTGCATAATCACTTGGAAGATGAAAATATTCAAAAACTGACTTTTTTTTCCTAATGGGTAAAATATAAAATACTATATGCAGTGTCTGTTTCTTTACATATTCCATCAATTGTCACTATTTTAACTGAGTGCTTAATTTCTCTTTATGCTAGGAGAGAAAGTTGTTATCATATTCTACTAGATATTTCAGGTGGCTGTGAGTTTACATTGCATATTAGCAATATAGGAATTATTGCCATGAAAATGATATCAAATTAGGTTGTGTGCTACTTTGTCATATTCTCCCTCAACTGTGCCTTTTTTTTTTCTGATAGTCTTTTAATATTTTTCTAATATGTTTCAGTGTTTTCCCTTCTCCTACTACAATACCCAAACCAATCTCTTAATAACCCACAATTTAGCTTTGCTTTTATCCTCTGTACAGCATCCTTTGTGATTTTAAAGGGTTATTCAGCTTCATGTCTGAATCCCTTTGTATTCTACAAAGTGAGAGAAGTACGCTACACATTGATAGCAACTGGCATTTTCTCCATATTTCCTTTATAAATTGGAAAGAGAGCCAGAATACAAACAGTGTTTATTAAGTTGCTTTTCTCTTGTCTTTAGGATGCTTGTGCTTTGGTGATGAACAGTATTTTAGAACACATGCAAAAAAGCACTGCTGACCAAAAAAAAGTAAATCAGAAACTTGGGAATGTCTCTACAAGTCCTTCTACCCAAGCTCAAGGCTTCAGTGCAGGCCTGGTTATTGATGGAAGGACTTTAGAGCATGTACTTCAGGACAGCCTGCAGAATGTTTTCTTGGAGCTCACAGAAAAATGTCGAGCTGTAGTCTGCTGCCAAGCCACACCACTGCAGAAGAGTGTGCTGGTCAGATTGGTGCGAAATAAGCTGAAGGCAATGACATTAGCTGTAGGTGAGTCTCATGGTTTCCTTCTTTTCTCTGAGAAGAAGTAGAAAGCAGTTTCTTCTCTCCTTTATTTTTCTCAACGTCCTTTACAAAATTAAATTACAAGGAAGATAATCCTTTGAATAATAGTTGTCTTTAGCATTACATGATGATAGTCTTTTAAGCTACCAAATTTAGTCTGTACTCAGTAATCTAAAGCAACAAAGAATAGCAGCAGTCATGTACAGCATTATGTGATGTGTGAAGGTTAAGTGAGGGGATTTTCCTTGTCGTTCTCCATCACAGCCCCTGGAAATAGTGAGGGAGAATGGAAATGACTCAGTATGATTTAAAACACCCATATTTTCTGTCCAAGCGTACTGACTACATTCTGACAAAAGGAGCAGCTAATATCTGTTTGAAGAATATTGCTCAGTCAGGCCTACTACACTCTGATCTTTCTTTCCATAGGCTACATTGCTGGCTATGAAAATGGTTTTCTCTGAATTCTGTGGTGTTATGTATTTGTGTATTAGTGCTACCTCCATGGCAATGTGATAGCCAGTAAAGCTGCTTCCAGGTTGTGTTTCAACCAACTTAAGAGAGCTTAGTTATTATTTCTTCCCTTTTCTTTGTAGGTGATGGTGCCAACGATGTCAGTATGATCCAGGTAGCTGACACTGGTGTGGGAATCTTGGGCCAAGAAGGCATGCAGGTAGCGTGTACAAGACACAAATGACATTGGATTCCATTTCAAATCTGTTTAACGTTCAGTCTGGAGGCCCAGCAGCTCCACAGCCCATTACTGTATTTGAGGGAAAGTGTGCAAGCCCCTGCCCTTATCTGGGAGTGCTCAGAAGCTAAAGGGTGCACGTGTTCAAACTTCAAATAACAGAACTTGCTGCCTGTCACTGAACTCCCTCTTATGTATCTGGGCTGCTTGTTTTATGGCATGAAGAATCAGTGATTTCTTTGGAGCTGCTGATGTAAAATGTTGTACAGAGGGGTTCAGATCTCAATAAGGCAAGGCTCATATGCACTATATATATTTAAAAAAACATAAAATAAGAGTTTCCAGCATTGTATCAGTTGTTTGCTGGTCAGTATTGAAGCTCATCATTAGCAGTTTAGATATATCAGTGCTTTCCTTTATGTGTGTTCCAGGCTGTGATGGCAAGTGACTTCGCAATTTCTCAGTTCAGGCATCTCAGGAAGCTGCTGCTTGTCCATGGTCACTGGTGTTATACCAGGCTTACCAACATGATACTCTACTTCTTCTACAAGAATGTGGTATGTAGCTGTCTTGTCCTAGGGAAAGCAGTTTGCTTATTTGACAGTTCTGAAGGGTCTAGCGTGGCTCCATATTATTTTTCAGTTTCTGTTTGAATGGGTTCAAAAATATGCAAACAGTGTGTGGCAAACAATTTTGTTTCCCATTTACATCTTCAGAGACTAGACTTTCCTATTGCTTGAACTGGGTTTCCAACTGAAAGCCATTGTCTAATTTGTTTCAAAAGTGGATAGCAGGCATTAATTAATGTATTCATAGCATGAATATTTAAACAAGCCATGTAGCCAGTTTTGAAATGTAAAGATGTGCACTAGCCAAATATAATTTCAAGGTATGGGATTGGCAGGGACTCTATAGCAGTTATACATAATTTTTCACAGATTACTGTAACAAGACCTACAACCTGCCTATTTTCCTCTTGGTTTTTAAAACACTTGTCTACGGGTAACATTTTATCATCTCATCATTGACTTTTCAGACCTACGTGAACCTCTTATTCTGGTACCAGTTCTTCTGTGGGTTTTCAGGCACATCAATGACTGACTATTGGATCTTGATTTTTTTCAATCTCCTTTTTACATCGGTGCCACCCATCATTTATGGTGTCTTGGACAAAGATGTGTCTGCAGAGATACTCATGCAGATCCCACAGCTGTACAAGATGAGCCAGAAATCTGTGGTAGGTTAAAGAATTCTTGGCCTGAAGCAAAATTAAAGTGGTCAGCATTTTGAGCCATTTCTTTCTTTCCTTCATGGTTCACATCAGGCAAACATGAAGTTTAAAACCACTTTCTCTTTTAGACCCAAACCTGAACTCTGTGGCTGAATAAAAGGTGGGCTTTTTTTCTGCTAAGATTCTCTATAGCCTGGCTGGAGGAGATCTGTATTATCTGTCACAGAGTTTTGATAAAGTAGCTGTTACAGGCCTCAGGATTTGGCCCTTTGCTCTGATCAAACAGAATACAGAGAGCTGAAAGGAATGTTTTGAGGCAACATAATCAGAATTACTGCATTATACAATTGCTTTTCTCTTTCCCTACTTTCTTTTTGTAAAAACATTTATCGAAGTTTTTCTCTTTTTGCCCAGTTCAGTATTGTCTTGCTCTGTGATTGTAGTTGTTAAGTAGTATATCATTTCTTTCCTTGCATGAAAGCACCGTGTAATAACCGCTTAATTGAAAGCATACTATAAAAGAAAGAACAGTGCTTTAAAACGTGCTTGTCATAATGTTACACCACTATGTCATAAGTGCAGCTCTTTACAAGCTATAAAACTAAAGACAGTAACTTGGATTCATCTTCACTGATTTAGAACACTGCCCTGACATGGGCAAATGAAGAGTCTAGTTTCCCAGCATTTGCAACCATTTTCAGAGAGAAATTCAGTTCATGAACGGGCTGAATTGCTTTTCAGATTAACCTGTCTCTCCTTATTAATGAGAGAGGAAATCCTGAGTGAGGAGACTGTGCATTTGTGTGCCTCAATTGATTGTTTGAAGAAATGGAATATACCTAAGCCAGGGCACATGCAGTTATAGTTACATCAGTTTGCTGCCACTGAATGGGAAGGGCTCATTCCTCTGCGTTGTCTCCCTTCTTTTCTTCCTGTTCCCTATTTTCACCCTTGTAGTTAGATTACCTTCCTCATGCCAGTTCTGCTGTTCATCTGTTTCTTTCAGGAGTTGATTTAACTCACTACAACAGCAAAATAGTAGTGAGATTCCCAGCAGAAAATGTCACATCCCACTTTTAAGGGGAGGGAAGGGGTGACCAGGGGAAAATGATTTTTCACAGTCTAGTGAATTTAGTTACCTCACATTAGAGTCCTGTATGCACAGAGGAGGAAATGAGCACAAATTAAAAGACAGAAGCAGACATACAAAACAGAAGGGAATGGAGGTGGGAGGAACATGGTACTTGGCATTCAATGATAGCAAGTTGTGAGGGTGATTCACTGTCCCATTGTCCTCTTCCTTCCTTATCACTCAGGTAAGACTTTGGCAGGTCAATTCTAGGAGGAACAGCTGTAAGATTAGAGCTCACTGATCTGGCTGCTGATTTAAATCATAGCAGCTCACTACACGTACATCTTCCTATTGTGCCATAAAAGCATGTCTCTTCATGGGGAAGCCAGCTGGAGTTATTCTGTGGATTATCTTTCCTCAAGTCCAGTTGGATGCTTAACAAAGCTGCAGCAATTTGTTGAACTTGTTTCAATGCCATTATCTTTTTTTGTTTTTTTCTTACAGGCCTACTTGCCTTCAACCTTTTGGATAACCTTGCTCGACGCTTTTTACCAAAGTCTTGCTTGCTTTTTTGTGCCTTACTTCGTAAGTGCTGGATATTAAATTTATGCACTTTGACATACTAAAAACTCAGGCAAATTAGAAATAATATGTAGTTTTTGATAGTACTTCATCATATACAAATGTATAGTAGCAGAATTGTCACTGGAACTAAGTTGAACTGTGCATACAAGTATGTCTAGTATTTAAATAAATCATGCCACTTTACATAGTGGAACTATACATCAAGCATATTACACTGACTGTATGTTACTCTGTCTTCCTTTACAGACTTACTATGGCTCAGACATAGACATTTTTTCTTTTGGAAACCCTATAAACACAGCAGCACTTTTTATAATATTGTTTCACCTTCTCATTGAGTGCAAATCCGTGGTGAGTACTTTGTTTTCTGAAGAGTACATTCCTCAACAGAACGTGTATACAGCTTTCATTAAAATTTATAGAAGAGAGCTTAGTACACAAAACTGTATAAGAGAGTTAGAGGTGAAATATTTCCTTTATAAGTCTCTGTAAGCTCTCCTAAGGAAGCTGTCATTGGAGCCAACAGAATTACTTGTGTGACTAAAATTAACAAAATTTGATCTCGGGATTATTTAATAGTGAGGGATCCTGCCTTATTAGGAGTCAGTGGGTTTGGGGATGTCACCTTGATTTGGCAAATGGTAAAACCAACTGGTGATCTGCTTGAGCCTCCATAAGTTCCCAAAGCTTTCTTCTCATAAAAAAAAAAAAGTGTCAGCTATTGATTTTTGAGTGCTTGAAATGGGTGATCTACTCTAGAGAACCAGTATGTTATGGAAATTCTATTCCAGCTTTCACTAGTCTGCATAAAGTAAAATACTTGTTCATAGACTCTGCATTAGCTTGAATGAATTTAAAGCTTTTACAAGGGTAATGTTTACCCATTGCACATAATTTTAAAGAGAATTTAGTAATATTTACAGTACAAAAACAGACATTAATGGCTTCTGATTTTTTTTCCTGTCAGTTTTGAAAAACATCTTTGGAATTGTATCATAATGGATAAAATCGCAAGTTGTGATTCTTTCTTTCATTCTTCTTCCAGGCACTTACACAAATGCCTTTAGTCTCCCTACATACGTAGCTTGAGTGTAGCCATACTTTGAATAGGAAAACAATACATAAATGGGTTTTATTTGGCATTTTACTACGTTAGCAAACTGTCAGACCAGTGACAGTGTTGTTTCCATAGTAACCATTATAGCCATAACTCCAATGAAGAGTTAATCTATGTCTCAAGCAGCATATGTAAGGGATGTATCACATAAAGCTTTCACCTCTATTTGCTTGAGAAGACTCTCAGCTGCCAGTGAGTAAGGTGATCATTTAAGGAAAATAGCATTATAATGTCGTACACAAATGATCGGATAGCTATGCTTTTAGCAGAATAAAATAAATAAATAAACAAACCAGCTGGGTTACCTATGAACTGCAGAAAGAAGGTTCTGTTCTTCTTGAGAGTGTTTTGCATAGAGTTAAGAATACTATCTGAATAGTTATGTTACACTGCTACATTAAGAAGCTGTCCTTGAAGGAAAAGCAGGGGGGCTGGGGGGGAGGCTGTGCATGCTGATGCATACATGTGCCTAAAGGATTTATGGGTCTTCCTGTTTACAGCCTAGATCTTATTTCTTTTCTAACTTGCAGACTTGGATTCATACGATAGTTATAGTTGGCAGCATCCTATTTTACTTCATTTTTGCTCTGGCTTTTGGGGCAACCTACAGAACCCATAATCCACTATCAAATCCTTATCGGATCATGGAAAAGCATATGGCAGACCCATTCTTTTACCTAGTGTGCCTCCTGACTACTTGTGTCGCTCTGCTACCGAGGTATGTTTCTGTTTTATAACCACAAGCTGCTACTGCTAACAAAGTGGTTTTCCTTAATTTGTTGATGCCTTGTGGTACCTAAAGGGGGCCTGTAGAAAAAAATGGGAAAGTAGTCTTCATCAGGGAATCTAGTGATTGGAGGAAGGGGTAGTAACTTTAAACTAAAAACAGATTAGTTTAGATCAGATAGTAGGAAGAAATCCTTTGCTGTGAAGGTGGTGAAGAGTTGGAACAGGCTGCCTGGAGAAGTCGTGGATACCCCATCCCTGGAGATGTTCAATGTCAGATTGATCTGGTAGGTGTCAGCCCTGCCCTTGGCAAGGGGGTTGCAACTGGGCCATCTTGGGTCCCTTTCAACCCAAACTATTCTATGGTTCCATTGCAAAGACCACAAAAAAAAAAAAAAAAAAAAAAAAAAAAAAAAAAAAAAAGAACCTGAAGCAAATATCAGCATTTGAAAATGCTTGTTTGTTTTAAAACATGCTCTGGTACAGTTGCTGGAATGATAATTTACGTTCTCAAAATGGCACCAGCAAAAGCGTATTTCAGAGTCTGCTGCAGTCTTAGGTTTAAATGAATGGTGTTTAGTTTCCTTCAGTGCTAGATGTGATTCTGGAAATGGTTTTTGTTCTGCTTCTGACCAGCTTATTTGGAAACATATTTTGTAGATACTTCCTGAGGGCTCTCCAAGGAACATTGTTTCCATCTCCAGTGTTGAAAGCCAAGCACTTAGACAAACTGATCTCTGAGGAGAAGAGGGAAGCAATTAAGAAATGGAAGGATGAACGGGTTGTAAGCTGTAGAATGGAGTTGCAAGTTACTTCTGGGTCTTCTGACTCAGCCACAGGTACTGTATTAAAGGAAGAAAGCATTGCCAGTGTTTGTTCTGCCAGCTTCTAGAATACCTTTTCATGCCTGTTCAAGAGGTGAGTTAGTGGAAGAAGAGCCTGGGAACAGAAATAACTTGAACTCTGAAAAGACTGCATTTTGGAATTCAAAGAGAACTGATTCAAATGTCTGATGTGCTAAAGCCTCTGCATGTACTCCTGAAGAGTGCAGTAGTGCCGTTTCTCCAGCATGCAAAGCAGGTTTGAATTCTTTGTTATGTGCACAAAATGGTTTAATGTTATTTACAAAGTTGGAATGTGAGCCACTGAAGATCCAAGAATAACTGCTGGTGTATGCTACAATGTGATTTTTTTTATTTTTTTTTTAGCCAAGGTATGCACTCATTTACCTAAAAGCTTTTGAGTTTGTAAAGCTTTTCAGTAATTTATTGTAGTGTTAAAGGTCTAAATGGCTAGAGGTTTTATTTTCTCATGCAGTATACTTTGGATACTGCTTCTCTCTTTCATGCAACACTGCATAATGCCTCCTACAGACAGGACATGGTATGAATTACAGATCTACAGATTCAGTTCAGATAAAATCCACTCTATCACAAGCCATACTACTCCCTTGCATTGCTGTCCTATTATCATAGTGTTGCCTGGAATTCATAGCTTACAGAGATAGGAAGCAAGCAGAAAGGCTCAGATGCAGTGGTTTTAGTTTATTACAAAACTTCTCTAATGTTTTTAGTACAATAATTATCTTAACCACTGTGGTCCAGCTCCTCCATGACCATCTCAGCATGATCCAAACACTATTTAAGCCATGAGGAAAGTGCCCTGGATGAGACATAGAATTCCCATATCTCTTTCACACTCCCACAGAAAATTTTTGTGCAGCTTCTTGTTCTCCAGGGTAGTTCACCCTCCTGCTATGTCCCCTCTCTTTGTCTCCCTTTTTCCTTTTATCTCATTCACCACTGACTGATCTTTTTCTCCTCACCCAACTTGGATATTGGCTGCCTTACTTTTCTCTAGACTTTTAAACTCATGCCTGCCCTGGAAGATCACCTGCAAATGATGATGGGAAGCTCCTGTGTGTCTTCAGAGGCAGCAGCTTGTAACTAATGGCATTTTTCTTCTTCACTCTCAGTTGTTTTCACATTCTTCCAGACTTTCATATTAAACAGCATGAGCATCAGTAAATGCTGCTCAAAAGAAGGTGTAGCCATTTGTACGCCTCAAATTTGAGCTCTGTTGTGTAAATATCTTGGAGACGTTCCACGTCTGCCAGTTCCCCACTGCTCTTCACACCATGTAAGCTGAGATGAGTGTGACTCTAAATATTGTTTCCTTTTACTTTCCTGCCCAAAAAGTTATATGGCCAATTTACAGAGGAGTCTGTGAAATTGTTTGTGTCTGCTAGCACTTATTGAAATAAACTATTTCCTTAAACTGTAGCAGATAATTATTATTATTGAGCCAATTTCTGATCTGTTTCTTTCTCAAGTTTTCTGATTCCAAATTGCCAAGATCTGTTGTGTTTATTTTCATATCTGGGGGCAAAGGCTCTGTTTCTTAATTGAACCATGAGTGTTCCATGCCAATGATCAAATTACATATTCCACATCTCCTATGATCTCTGAAAGAATTTAAACAAATGCTGTGAGGTCCAAGACAGCTGCTGCTACGCTAGGCAGATACCAAGAGCACACTAGGTTCATTCAGATGCAGGTCACCACATGTTGTCAGAAGTTTCAAATGGCACAATATAATTATTGCTGATTCCATCCTCATAGTTAGCAAGAACAAGAATATCCTTTTGTTTAGCCCATAGAAGAAAAACAGTGGAAAGAGCCAGTGACAACAGACATTACTGTAATTTTTTTTTTTTTTTTTTAAATTTGGTTCAACATCTGACAAAACAATTTTAATAAGTTCTAACACATATAATGCCCACCTTCAAAATGGGAGTAAACATTCAAGTTCTTGGAAATAGCATCCAACCTAAGTTGATTCATAATTATTATTTTTATGTGGCTTTAGTATACTTGCTTGTGTACTCTTCTATTTTACCTAATGTAACATGATGGGAAGCACAGTGACAGCAGAGCAGCAAGATCCCAGGCTGCAGTGAGTGAGAATTTGCTCAAACACAACAGCAGTGGACAGAGAAATAAATGAAAGAAGTTACTCACCTTTAAAATACCTCAGATATACAAGGTTCTCCAGCAAGATACCCTTACCTCCATTGCCAACCCTTAAATGAGGTCTGGAAAGGGGTGGATCCTAACTCCACCCCTTCTGGTCAGTCAGGTGTATTGCATGCACCTGAGTTCCCTTGTGTTGGCCCTGCCTTCCTACCAGTGCTCAGTCACTGGTTCAAGCTGTGACTTACATTTCCACTATAATCTAATATTTTATATTTTGTAATACTCTTATATTTTTTGCAATTGGAAAAACTCATTCCCAGAACCAGGTTTAGAAGTGCTTAAGGGGAATAGAAAGAGATGTAACTGCTGGGGTTAACTTGTTAGGAGGGGACTCCAGGTGTCCTGACTGCAAATGTCAGCTTTCTCTGCACATCGTGGAACTGTGAGGTTCCATCTTCTTCCTGGAAGAAGATGCAGAACAGCCAGCAGGTTGTGCAGGGAGATAGCTGCCATGGGGCAGAATCATACAAGGGATAGGATGTAGTGGATGTTGGAGTTGATCTGCTCTGCTGCTGAGCCCCAGGGCAGGTGCACTGCTTCCCATGCTGATCCTAGCAGATGTTCTCCTGTAGTGAAGAGCTCAAGCAATGAAGTCCAGACCAATGCTTCCTGCCCTGGAAGTTAAATACTGATGTTTCTGTTATCTCGCCTAAATGCTTCTTCTGCACCATAAATTTATTTCCTCTGTTAATTTGTGGTGACAGAGAAGGGATTTTTATCTTTCCCTTTGCAATAACGTGTGATGTAACTGAAGACTGTTTCCAGCATTTCCATCAGCAAATTTGGAGGTAGCTGATACTGCAGTCTTAGGAGTTCATGTGTGTATTGTGTAAAAGCTGTAAGTACTCAAGGTCCTTCAAATCCTGTGAGCTATGGCAGCCGAGTTACTTCACAACAAAACAAAGTGGCCCTCAACAGGGAGCCCTGGGGCTGCCTTAGTGCCTTCCTGCCCTTTACTTCACTTCTGAGACACTTACAGTATTGTTAGTTGGCTTTACAAGCACAATCACCCCATGACTCAGTGCTGGAAGGGTTTGCAAGATGTGTTCTTAAACTGAGTGGAAGATTACTTCATCTAGGGCTCAAAAGCACACTATGGGTTGCCTTGAAATTTTAGGTACTCTTAAAAAAAATCCTATGTACTGATGATATCACTGACCATAAGCACTTTTTTACCACTTTATTATGTGCAAAATAGTGCACTCATAAAGAGCATCTCAGTTTTTTTTCCTGTTATGTTGTTTCACCAGTGGTGCATATTGCTTAAAATTCTTTCCTACTGCGGGTTATACACTTTCAGGGGGCTTTAACTAGCTGTATCAATGACAAAAATATCACCTTGTAGAACCCAATCCTTTGCTTTCTTTTTTTTTTTCCTTGGTGGACAAACAGCCAAAAAAATTGAATGACTGTCCGCCATGATCACTCTGTTTCTTACTAAATTAGGAGATGTGGACAATGAGTCTTTAATAAATGCCTCAAATTGTTAATTGGCTATATCTAAAGTGGTGCCAAATGAGGGGTGCATGTTAATCATCCACCATTCTCAGTAGTTGAGGGTTTTTTAATTATTATTTTTTAGCACTGTAGACATCACAGTCCCTTGTTTGCTTCTGCACAGCATGATCTGACTTTGCCATTTGGAAGGTGGGCTTTTTAAGATCATCTCACAGGTGTTTTGCAGATGTCAGAAAAGACAGCACAGTGTTTAATGTTTTGGTTATTGGTTTAAAAAAAAAAAAAAAAGCAAACACCAATTTTCAGCCTCTGCCCCAACTTTGGCCCCAACTTTGTGACTGTGCTTAGAGCAGCTTTAACTCACAGGTTGCTGTGCGATATTAGATCTGCCAGAAAATTCACTCTTTTTTTTTTTTTCCCTGCTTTTCTTCAGCAGCAGTGAGTACATTGAGCATTTGCAGGTGGCAACAGCCACAGCCTTCATGTAGTGGATGACTTCACAGCCCAGCTCTGGCCTGCTCATGGAATACACTGAGCTGAAGAATTCTCTAAGCCATGCTCTGATAGTCCCCCAATGCCACTGGCTACAGCATGAGAGCATGAAGCACCAGTGCTCCCTGGTATGCTGCTTCCCTAGGTAGTCCTCAGTCCCTGCAGGAGACAGCGATCACATCCCAAAGATGCATGTGCTAAAAACTTTCTAATGGCTGAATTTCCATGTGGTTTTTGTGTTACTAATTTCTGTTTTACTCTGGTTTATTTACTCCTGTCTTCATGGTCCCAGGTGCCTTACTGCTGACTGCAGTTAAAAGTCAAATTTTAACTATTTCATGTTTCTGCATGCTTGTATTTTTTATTTCAACATCTTCATGCATTGAAATTCAGCATCCTGATTGTAAGGAGATATGTCCTTAGCTGACCTGAGGAAAGCCATATAGCCAAACATGTTAATTTTTCAACTATTTAAATCCCAAATAGTTGTTGACAGTGCTGTCCTTGGTATTCTTCTGTACTGGATGCATATGTGCAGAAGAAACCAGAAGTTGTAGAGGAGGTTTAGTGCCAAACCCTCTGCCAATTTGTGATGCAAGCAGAGCTGCCAGTAGTGCATGACAAACCAGATAAGAGCAGTTCAATACCATTTCAAACCTGTTTTTAGGAATTAGTGCTGAAGTCATAATTTTTGTCACTACTCTCTTCACACTTCCACATTGTCATTGAGTCTATGGGAAGATTGAAACACCTGAAGCAGAGACATTACTAGGAAAATTATTGTAAATTTTTATTAGTACAGTGAGAAAGAAGCACATCGGCTGTCTGTATGACATTGCTTCCATTTGGCTGCACAGTCATGGTAGAAGTGAAACCAACAGTGTCACCTCGCAGTGAAGCTATGCTTGTAAAGAACATAGCATGGTTGTGGCTGTCGCCATTACAGCAGCACATATGAAAAAGTTTCAAGGCAGTAGTAGGAGGAATATACTTGCCTATTTGATGCGCACACATAGAAAAAAGCAGTATAAAAATACATTTATAAAATTACAAATTTCCTCTTTACATGGAATGTGGTGGCAGACAACTTGTGGGGGAAAGCCACAGCCCTGTGGGCTGGAGCTTGGTTTATAATATCTTGACATGACCCCAAACAGGAGAGGCTGGGCCCTTTGTTTAAGCAATACTCTCATTTGGTTCCTGGGAGGGACTGCATATAAAATGTGGCAGAGCCAAACCCAATTAATTGAAGTATGTTATTATTTCACATACTATCATTTGGTAGTGCTAATATTTGTACAAAATGACTGTATGTACTCCAGTCCTTTGTTTAATTCAGGGGTGTGAACTGCTTCTTCTAGTCAGGGAAGCTGCTAGATTCACAACAGCTTCTATTTGCTCTTACCTCCAGAAGGCCAAGCCTGCAGAACTGCTGCCTATGCTGTGCTGTGCTGCAGAGAGCCTGGCCCCAGGGAGAGCTGCAGTGGGGCAACCTGCTGCTCATACAGCCTTGAAGCAAGGGCACCACTAACCTGCTCCACCTGCAGTCTACCTGCACTGGAATAACACGGTCACTGCAACTTTCTCTCTGGGGAAAGAGCATTTTCTGTTACAGAAAAAGCAAAATCCTTAATATAATAAAAAAAAATAAAAAAAAAAAAATAAAAAGGAAAAACTAACAAAGCCTATGGAGATTTTCTTTCTGAGCATTAAACAGTGATACAAAAGTCATTTAAATAGGGTTTTCAGAATCCACAACAAATATTGAGTATTTATTAATAATGCTCTTTTTGAGTGCTGTCCAGTATGTCTAATGTTACACATGTTAAAGGAGAAGATACTAAAGAAAGAGGCAAACTTTTCACTAAAGCAATAGTATGGGCTGTGTAGGTTAGTTGTAACATGACTTATTGTACATGAAATCTCTGTTATCAGCTGTTATAATGCAGGTTTCCATGTATGGCAGGCATTGTGCTGACAAGGTCCTGCATGCTGCCATGGGGGCACGCCAGAGGTAGCATCAAGAGTAACTGTATGCCTGAGGCTGAAACTTTGCATTACTCTCCAGTGAAATTCTCAATTTCCTGACTCCTCCTGGAGTCTGACTCCTCCTGTTCTGGCTACCTGAAAAGCAATGAGCTGTGCATGTCACCACTTATAGCAGCTAGTAAGAAACAATTCCCCTCTAGCTGTAGAAAGGTGCCAGTGCCAAGCTCCACTGTAAGCTCCATTGTAAAGTATTGTGGGTTTGTTTGTTGTTTATTGTTTGTTTTTGTTTTTGTTTTTCCAGCCAGACTCTTGAAGTCAAGGCTTGGCTTCTTATCACTGCACAGAGCACTTTGCCACCAAACACTTCAGTGGGGCCTCCTTTAGGCTTTTGCTGACGAAGCTTTGCTTAACATTTCTAATACACATCTGGATTCCGCTTTCTGCTCAAATCATCTGCCATATAGGTTTCTCTTTGCCTTTTCTCTCTCCAGATTGTTTTATCTTGTTAAGCAAAATTAAATTCAGTGCAAAATACTAGAAGAAGCCTACCCAAAAATACTCCGTTTCTCAGTATTATTTCTCATATTTGCTCACACTGCATCTTTTGCACTTTAAATCTACATTTTCCACATCTCCCCAGATGCCCCAAATAGCTTACTCTCGAGGCAAAAGCATTTGCAGTGGCTCTACCAACGCTGTGTTTCCAGAGGACTAGAGGTTGTCAGTGCATGTTTTATAGGCTGAACACTATAAATAAATAAAAAAAGTGGGGAAGAGAAGCTAGTGGGGCACAGTTTTAATACATGTGCTACTCTGTGTGGTGCTGTCGGGAAGTGGGCACTTCTGGACACTGTGAGACACAGAAGCTTTAGAAAACTTAAGTGGTAGAAACTTGGAAAAAACGATCCAAAGAGGCTGATAAACAAAACTTTGGTTTCAGGTGCCTCAAATAGTATTATGGGTCTGTTGGCCTACTAGTGCCACACAGTACCCTGAAGAGGTATACCAGCTGGCCCCCAGAACAGAGCAGTAGAGTCAGTATGCTGCAGTGCCCTAGCCATGTTGGCCACTCTGAGGGACAGACGGTGTTTACTCAGCCCCTTCGAACCTGTGCTTGTACCGCCATGCCCTGTGCTGCAGGAACGCACGAGTCCTACCACCTTTTCCACACCTGCAACCTTTGGCATGGCCCTGGTGCATTTGTGCCCTGCCAGTGTCATCTGAATGCACTGAGTCTGCACCGTGTGACAGTGAGAGAAGATGCATGTGCTCCTAATTGAATAGTATTAAAATAGGCCACTTAAAAAGTTTTTATACTCTGTGCTACTGCTTAGTTTGAATATCCGAAAGGAAGAAAGTGACTGTTTCTTTTCTTTTAAGCATTTTGCTGTGCTTGGAATAGCACCACAAGAGTTAAAAGAAAAAAAAAGGATTATTAATTCTACCCCAAAGTATATTCACCAGCAGAGGATTGACTATGAGCATACACTGCATATCCCATAGCTCCACAAGAAGAATAGAAAGAGCTTGGGACTCCTTTTCACAGAATTTCTGGACTGCAAAATCTTCAGTGTTGAAGTTTGATTCCATTCTCCTGCTGTTTGTCAGCACAATTCTTACCATCTGGAGTTAGTTCAGCAGAAAGGTGTGGATATATATTTGTTTTTCAATCCAGTCAATAAAATGTGACACATTGCTGTAAACTCCTGGTCCCAAAACCTTGGAAAAGCAGACAGAGCCCCAAGATGTTAAACCAAACAAAGTCCAGCGTCCTGCAGGTTGCTCACACACAAGTGGTCCTCCACTGTCACCCTGCAATACAAAAGAAAATCAGAAGCTATACATAGCCAGTAGTCACATGGCTAAAGCTCTGTCCCAGTTCCTGGAGTGATTTCTCTTTAATAAGTAACTCAGCTGTAAGGACTGGCTGCTCTGCTCTGTAGCAGCATACAGTTACCTATCTTTGTTCCCTTTTTCAACTGTACAAAAAAGTACCTGCAAATGGCTTATTTTTATTTTAAAAGTTAGTCTATTGTTTAACTAATACAGATAAACCTCAGAACATCAGCTTTTCATTACCATAAACTTGAGTTTATTTCAGTTTCACAGCATCAGAGACACTGAAGATGAAGGAGATTGCTGTGAGTGATCTGGTCAGCCCCCCAGCCTCAACTAGCCAGCTACTAGTTGTACCAGCAGCAATAACAGCTGGGTTAAAACACGTCGAGAGACTGTAGGCGTTTCTATACTAGATGAAGTATGCTGAATCTAGTAAGTGTCACAGAACTTTGATGTCTAGAAACATTTCTAGCTGTGAGTTTCTCCTTAGAGATAAGGCTTACCATGCAAGAGTCTATGGTGCCAGACTCATAGCCTGCGCACAGCATCCTGCTGGTAATGGTCTTCATGTCAAAGTATGACTGGCATTGTTCTAAGGAAATGATGCGCACTTCTCCTTCTTGAAGCTTAAAAGGCACTGAAAAACAGAAATAAGCATTAAAACATATGGACATACAAAAATATCTGTGATGGATCTTTGAGATATGATAAATATTTCCTTTAGATAGATCTAAATATTACTTCATGTGTGTGTGTATATAAATATGTGTGCATATATATGTATATGTAAAAATATATGAAACAAAAACACATAGGTCTAGATTGAAGCTCAGATGTTTGCGGGTCTTTTTTTTCATGGTTGCATTGCAGGATTCATGATGAAGACTCCTCAGCCAAGTCTGTATATGTTGCATTCTGGAGGATGACCAAGCGCATGGGTGCTGCTGACAAAAGTGTGTATTTGCACAATACTGAAGACTGAGGAGGCAGAGTACCTTTATGTGATGTGTTATTGGACTTTTATGATGGGGACAATATTGGCTGGAAAGCAGTAATGTGAGGCAGAGGAAGGGGTTAACTCTTCATTCTAATCCTAGTATCTCTCGCAGTTGAGGTTGGTATAAACACAAGCATGAGTTACATTTGGGTAAATTCAATTTAATGTATCAGGGAATCAGATTTCAAAGGATATTGAAATTACTTCAGCACATTCAGGACTTCATCCTACTGCGAGCAACTGACTTAGCTCAAATTCAAAGGTAAACTGTTAAACCTAGAGCATGAAATACTAAGCCAATATGGTTTTTGCAGTTTTCTAACATAAAACCTTTAAAAACAAAGCTGAAATCACATTAGCTATCAAATAACATTTTTCTACTTACCACAGGTACAAAAGCTTTCTGTTATTTTTTTTCTGCCATTACATAAAATGTAGTTTTAGATTGATAGATTCGTAGCTGCTTCTAAACCGCATGTTCCTCACTAGTGCAATTTAGTTTTTGCCATATATATGGACCTGGCTACTAGGGGTGAAGCAGTACTGAAAGGAAGATTTCCTTATCCAGTGCACAGAACTGCCTTTCTGAGAATTGCTGTTACAGAGAAGGGAGAAACATAATGGATAGAGCTAACCAGGGTTGGGGCCAGGATACTTTGCATTTGGTGCATGAAAGATCCACAGAACCACAGAATGGCTTGGGTTGGAAGGGACCCAAGTCTGTCAAAACAGATATTTACACAACATAAATGTTCTTCCTATGGGACCCAAGGATTTCAGGGGCAACTGAGCACAAAAAAAACAGTAATATTTCTCTTCAGAGACAACACTTGTGATTAAGCCTTGATAGAATAAATCTTGCCACAAGCCAGGAGTGTGACACAGAGCACTGGCTCAAGAAAATTGTTCGTTCAGCCTGTATGCCTTTGCTTCTAGCTTCTAGCCTCCACTGAACTAAGAATGTTACCCCCAGCAATGATCTGACATGGTTATTATCCCAATACAATTCTGAAGACAGCCTAAGTGAGTAAAATGATACCTAGTCCAGAATGGATAGGGATCTCCTAGAAGGTGTCCAGCAGAAGGGCAGAAAGATGATAAAGGGCCTGGAGCACCTCCTGAATAAGGAGAGGCTGAGTAACCTGGCTCTGTTCAGCCTGGGGAAAAGAGGACTGAGTGGAGATCTGATTAATGTTTATAAATATAAGAGGGGATGTGGAAGGCAAATGGATGTGGCTCTTCTCGGTGGTGTTTAGTGGTAGGACAAGGAGCAATGGCCTAAAACTTGAACAAAGAAGTTCCGTACTAACATGCAGATCTTCCTTACAATAAGAGTGACAGAGCAATAGAACACGTTGTGCAGAGAGATTGTGGAGTCTCCTTCTGTGGAGCTACTCAAGACCCAACTGATTGCCTACCTGTGCAATCTATTATAGGGAGTCTGTGCTAGCAGGGGGGTTAGATTCAATGATCTCTTGAGGTATCTTCCAACTCCTGCAATTCTTGATTCTGTGAATCAAGTCCAGCATTAGTATAAATGGGTGAAACTTTGTAGTGGGATCCCTTATTTGATTAACCCAGTAGGTTCTTAACATGTTCTTCTAATATTCCTGAAAGTATTTATCTTACTTTTGTTGCCCATGTGTCCCCAGCCTGTGATGTAGCAGTAGGTATCTGG